AAGTTTTTCTATTGTTAGTGCTTAACTTAGCACCCACATTTTCTACACGTTCGTATATAAGACTATATCGGTCTTCTCAATCACGCTTAATTATTATACAATTGACTATACTTAGCACTACTCCCTCTTTATTGCACCACTGATCTCCCACTCCTCAAAATAATCTTGGTCAGCTGCATTTGGCAACTTCACATTGTTAATAACGTTGCATCCGTTTTCATCCAACTCAACTTTAAACAACCTGGGATGACTGCCGATTGACTCATTTGAAATCTCTTTCATCTTATTGTCATGCAATGCAAGATACATGAGTTTAGTTGGACCTGGAAAAGTCAACTTGATCTCCTCAATCAAATTACAGGAAATATCCAACGCTTCGATTGAGCAAGTCTGAAAATCAATATGCCCATTCTGAATTCTGTTATCTGCAATATTCAACAAGCGCAACCTCTTCAAGCTGGAAAGCTGTGCGGGAAACTCAGTCAAGTTGTTATGAGACAAATCAACCTCTTCCAAACAACCTGGTAGGTCAACTCCAAACTTGGATATGTTGCAACGGGACAAGACCAAGTACTTTAAGCCGCACCCAAGCTTCAAAGTCATATTCTCAAGATTGCATTGCCTAAAGCACAAATACTGCTCAACCCCGCCACAGTAAGACTCAGGTATCTTCTGACAATGCTCAACGCTCAATGAATCAACTTGTGGCAACTTTAAACCTTCAAATTCCGTTCTACACAACGACAAATTCTGAAGCTTCTTCACGTTGGAAAGGTCAATGGTGACAATTTTATTGTCCCGTAGTTCAACTTGTTTCAAAGTTGACGGAAATTGTGACATGTCGAAATCAGTCATTGCTCCATGTAGACCTCCAATACCTCCTAATCGCATACAAATTAGATTCTTAGGAAAAGTGAACTGATTGGTTTGCCAGCCACAATTGCAAAAGCTCAACTCCTTTAGCAAATCAGGAAAGAAAGCTGTTTTTATCGAATGCACAGCCAGCAGCAATGCTACCTTTCTCAACATGCGAAATCTCAAAAGGTCCAAAATTTCCTCCCATTCTATCGAATAGTTTTCCAATAAAGTCAAACTTTCTAAACCTTCTGGCATCAAGTTCAATAAATACTTAGCACTAATCCCGTAAACATGAAGATTTGATATTTCAAGCACCTTCAAAGTTGCCGGCATGTTCTGGAGCACCAACATATCTTGCACGCCAGAAAGATGTAATGAATAACAAGGAGGATAAAACTGGTGAATAAGGTAATCAACAGAAAGCGACCTTAAAATACAACGCTTTTCTTGTAAAGCGCTAAACAACAACGCAATGACATCTCCATATAGCTTACCAATGCAATCAATCATGGTGTTGGGGCATGCATATTCGAGAATTTCTTTCATAAAAGTTCTATCAATGCAGTTAACGAACCCTCCTTGTAACCGGATGATGCGTAACCCCTCTGGCCCATCCCATGAGCTGACCATCTCCTCTTTACGTAGCCATTTGGTACATGCAAACTCTAGTCGCTTTACTGGGGGGAGTTTTCCAACTTCAACACCTCCCAATGCATTAAATACAAGTTCTTTCAACTTGGGGCATTTAAAGGAACCAGAAACGCCGCACATGTGACTGGAGAACACTTCAAGGTTTCTGAAACAGATATCTCCTTCCAAGATGTGGAGCCTCTTCAATCCCATTGACAATTCCACTACTCGATCACTAATGTGATCAAACAGCTTCATAAACTTGTTCATGTCAATTGTGAACTTGTAGCTAAAGTCCAATTCAAACATCAATGATGCAGTATTGCTCAGCTGTAAGGCCTTAATCAACTCAACTAAGTCTAGAAGGTCAACCATATGACAAAGTCCATAAGAGATCTTGGATGTTGTATGGATCTGTTTATTAACGCAGTAAGCATCAACCATTTCATATTGCTCTCGATTCAATGCATTGCGGTCTTGAGATCTCAGGTCTGGGTAGTTGTTTTCGTCTCCGTAATTCCTGGAAGTTTTATGGAAGTAGCCAAATCCTCTTTCAAGTCTGCGGTGAATGGCAATTTTTATACTTGGATTGTGCAGCAAAAAGTGCTCATTGAGTAATTGAGTGATCTCCTTGACTTCAACGAAGGAGAAAACTCTCTGCAAAATGTCTAACTGGTACAAGTCAAGGGTGAGTCTCATGCTGCAAAGGTGGTCAAAAAATATATATCAGGGGCAAAAACGCGACACATAATTACTTTCCAATCGTCTTGATAAATTGCAACTCCAAGTGTTACATGGTAACACTTCATTGTCGTGAAAATATTATCAATGTCGCAAATTCAATGTGTTAATCTTATTATTCACACATTTGAATTATAGTATTTCCCACATAAATCATTTGTACAGTTTTCTAGAGAATAACCACTTATAATATTACTGTCAGGAATAGGAATAGATATTTTGAAACACTTACTAAACTGATAAGAGTTTCAGAAGACGATTCTCGAACCTAAAACATGGATCACTAATGTTTCAGGCACTTAGCCTTTGTAGAGTCCTGAAGTTTAAAGGTGGGTCTTTTCCCCCTTTTCTATATAATCAAGTAAAATTACCACACTTAAACTGACATTAACTTCGTAGATATTTATACACAATATAGGGTACTTCCATCCTATACATGTCATTTCATCCTTGCACAGGAAAGATTGATGGTCCATAGAAATTACATTTCATCAAGTTCTTAAAAATACTGCAAAATATACACTTTAAAACAAACAAATGTATATTGTGGTAGGAAAACCCTCATGGATAAGAAGGGACTTGAACCCTTAAAAACCTCCACTGAAAGACAAACTAAAAGCAAACTAAAAACAAACTATACATTTAAACCAAGGTGTTCTCCTTGCTGAATGACGCGTACTTTTCAAACACATCGCCAGCATCAATATCACTTCTCTTGCGCGATTGCGCTCTGAAGTAAACCCTCTTGATCAGCTTCCAGACCTCCGCCCCAATAAGGAATGCCACTGTGAAAGCAACGGCAACACCCCATTCATATCCAATTGGTCCATGCAAGAACACCTTGTCATTGATGACCGGGATATACACCAAGGGAAAAACAGTTGCAAACCCAAATATGATTGACCAAAAGAGGAATTGATTCTCCCATAAGTCAGACGCCAATTGCAAATACCATGGTTTTTCCGAATCAGGGTGCATGTGGAAGAAGGAACGCCTCAAGTGAATACACTCCCACGCGAGTAATAAGGCACACCAAGTGAAAGCGGCAAAGGCTCCTGATCTACTTTGGAACACCAACTTACACTGCTCTCCAGATCCAGTGTTGCAATCTGAGCCCAACTCTCCGTTGCCTTTACCGTAAAGGATAACAACAAATGCAGCAAGACAGCAAGCCGCCATCCAGATCCCATAAGCAAACATATCAATAATGACTTCCCACGTAAAAATGGTGTTGCTAGGTGGCAAGTCTAGGATATCAGATTGTGCCTTCTCTTGCCCCAATCCCATGGCTGGGAAACATGAAGTGACAACAATGATCCACAAAACTTCAACTGGAGCAAGCGGAAACACTGAGAACCCATCATTATCCATAAACACAAGCCCCACCATCAAGTAGATAGCTTGGGCAACGTTTTCAGCCAACAATTGCAAAACAAATTTCTGAATATTCAACGACATTCTTCTACCCTCTTCAATGGCATTCAAAATGGAGGCAAAGTTGTCGTCAGTAAGGATAATATCGGAGGCATCTTTTGCCACATCGGACCCATTCATACCCATAGCAATACCAACATCGGCTTTCTTCAAAGATGGGGAGTCATTAACACCATCACCAGTCATTGCCACAAATCTCTTTCTTCTATGCAACGCCTCAATCATACGCACTTTGGTTTGTGGTGCGCAACGAGCAATTACCAATGGCAATACAGGCAAGTTGTCAATTTCGTTATCCGATAAAGCATCAAATTCGTTAGCCGTCATAACCATTACCTTGACAACCTCTTCTGAGTAGTGGTACAAGTTGTGAGGGATGATGCCAACTTCCTGAGCAATGGCTTTTGCAGTACCTGGATGGTCACCAGTAAGCATATGGACATTGATACCAGCACGATGACACAACTTTACCGAATCACGGGTCTCTTCTCTTGGTGGGTCGTAAATGCCAATAAGACCTTGGAAAATCAAGTTGGATTCAACAGCGTCACGACTATCACAAACGCCATCACAGGATCTAGTAGCAAACGCCAATACACGCAACCCTTGAGATGAAAGTGCAGACATATTTCCTTCAATGGTTTGCTTGTCAACATCAGTCAACTTTCTCAATTCTTGTGAATCATTACTGCCTTCACCATACCATGTGGTGCACAATTGCACAACCCTTTCAACGGCACCTTTTGTGTAGACTCTAGTCTCTCCAGACTTGTCCTTGTAAACTGCCGACATTCTTTTAATTGATGAGTCAAAGGGGAACTCAGCAACATGGTCAAATCCGTCAACAAGCGACTCTCTTGCATAGCCCAATCTGGTGGTGAAAACCTGAATGGCAATTTCAGTGGCATCCCCATGAGCTTTCCAAACTAATTCACCCAGCTCTTCGTCTTTGCTTTGGTTGACGGTGGCGATATTGGCCAAAGTGGCAGTCATTAGCCAGTCGTGCATGCTTTGTGGCATTGGGTCTGGGAAAGGCTTTTTGAAATCAATTTCTTCATCAGTCTGCTTAATGTAAAGCGGTGAATATGGTGCATACCTTACATCGCCTGCTGTTGGGTTATAAGGCTCGTTTGAGTTTTGCACTTCCAATGTACCAACATTTGGCAACCAGACTTTTTTGGCAATCATTTTACCCTGTGTTAATGTACCCGTCTTGTCGGAACAGATATCGTTGATACCACCTAGCGCCTCCAACGAGTCCAACTTTCTCACAATGACATGTTTTGTCACCATCACTTGAGCTCCAATGGCCATTGTGATGGTCAATACTACAATAAGTGACGACGGAATCATTGACAATGCAACACAAATGGCATATATGGCCACGTTCCTGGTGACATTCATCTTTTGTGAGCCCAAAACAACAATGGCAAAAACAACAGCCACCCAAAACAAGAATATTGCCAACCAAGAAAGTTTCTTTTGCAACGGCGTCCCCTCAGTCACACCGAGAATGTTTCCAACAACGTTGTAAACGGTTCCTGCCCAAGCACGTCCGTAGTCTCTTTTTCTAGGTTTACCATTTGACCTGTCAACTTTGCGAATCAAACCAGTATCACCTTTCAAAGATTGTGCAATTTGACCAATTTCAGTGTTCAACCCAGTTGCATAAACAATACCCGATCCTCTACCCTTTGAAACAACCGAGGATGAATAAACCAAGTTTAACCTGTCACCCACTGGGACAGGCACGGAATAATCGTCATACACAACAGTGTGATTTTTTTGTACAGGCAATGACTCCCCCGTCAACAATGCTTCGTCAGTTTCCAAATTCATGGAATCAAACAACCTCAAATCCGCGGGAACTGTGTCTCCAACTTTGACATGCACAATATCACCAGGGACAACTTCCTCAGCGGGGACTGTAACATCACTACCATCTCTAGTAACTCTTGCAGTTGGTGATGACAAGTTACGCAATGACCCCATTGTCTTCTCAGCTTTAACCTCTTGAACAAACCCAACAAGGATATTTATACCAACAACAAAACCAATGACACCACCTGAAATCCAATCTCTGATAGCAAGTGCAATAATCATACTGATGAACAACACCAAAATCATAGCATTGAATACTTGATGTGCCAAGATCTTGGTATACGATATGGAGTCCTCTTTTCCCAAATTGTTGGCACCATAAGTGGAAATCCTCGACTCAGCTTCCTTCGGTGATAATCCATTTGACAAATTAGTGTTGAACTCTTCAACTACTTCCTCAATTGAGAGCCTATATTGTTCTTGACTGCTTTGAACTTCATCTTTTTCACGATTTGGCGGTTCATAGTGGTAAAATTTGTTCTCTTCTGACTTATCGGACTTTATTTTCAATCACTCACAGTAGCAGCTTCTCTCGGGGGTAACGATGAAAAGCTGGGAAAAAGGGCAATAATCTGTAGAGAAGAAGAAGAAGTAGAAAGAGGAAAAAAAATTTCTTTCTTATCTTGGAGGAAATACTTTGTAAGGAAAATTTTTTTTTTTTTTTCCCATTGGATTCAAAAGGGTTTTTTTTTTCTTGGCAGTCAAGCTCCTTACAGCAACCTACCTAATCACAGTGTTGTTGGAGAGTACTTGGCTCAAACCATGAGCTTTATCACCTTTAAATTTGGTTCTTGGAGCAACCAGCTTGAGTTCGCTGCAGAAAGCGTAAAACGTTTTTTTAGAAAAGCTGCAAATCGCGGATTTTTTTCCCGAGCATTTTTAACCGAGGATAATTACCACCAGGAGTAGAAAAAGGGAAGCACAATCGAAATTCAACTACATACACTGCTGAGTCAGGTAATGCGATGATAAGACATCATTGTTGAGAAGCAACGGAGTATCTATGTGCAGTCTGAATCCGTAGACATTTGCTAAAAATGTCATTTAAATTAAAAGTCCAGACCTGCCAAGCACTTAACACAGTCGAAGAAAATTTGACAATCTGCCACCTCTGCTCCGCGCTCTCCCACGGCTTACTTCCTGGTGACTCCCTACTGCAAGTACCTTTTTGTTTTGCAACTTTTGAATGTAAATGATAGCGCCGCGCACTGCTAAAGTTGCTACTGTTTTATTTTTTGAGCCGCGACAAATTATCAAAAAAAAAAAGAAAAATTCAACCAAGCTCACTGAGGGGTCCTCTTTGTCTCCACAATGGACCCCTTAGAGAGCCATTTTTTGAAAAAGTTTCTCCTTGAGAAGCAATTGCACAATGAGTTGAGGTTGATGTGGAAGGATATGCGAGCGGTTGACGATACAGATAAACTTCCGTTGCTCTCATTTTTTTTCCATGAATATGTATCGACATTCCCATTCATCACAAGCAATACCGAAAAACAGCAGGAGCAGTTTTGGCAGGATGTGTTTCAATTTGTGGAAAACTTCAATTCCAAAAGCTTTAGCACTTCAGACGAGAGAAACGGAGTGACAAAGAGGAGCCAGGCTAACAAGAAGCTTCTCGGTGGGTTGTTGGTGTTTTACAATTCAGTCTTGATCACAGGTAACGAGATGGAATATCTTACTAAACCACACTTGAAAGCTTCCGACACTGCAAAGTTGGAAAAGTTTGACTTTCAAAAGAAAAAAAACATAACTGTTGTCGGGATGCATCAGTATGATCGAATGAAGTTTGTCAACGGTGTGTATATCAACATTGTCGCATTGAGAAGAGTCGAAGGTGAGCAATCTTGGTTTTTTGCAGCAACACATCACTATGATTTTGTAATACAAGTTGTGCTAAAGGAAGGGCCGAAGTCAAGTTTTGTTTGCAAAAGTTACCAGCAGTTGAGTCAGTTGGAGCACGATTTGAAAAAGGAATTACCGGGAGTGATGCTGACGTTGCACACCAAACTACCACACAAGGCAAAAGACAACGAAAACAGCATAGAAACGAGTAGAATGGCCACCCGGAGCTGGCTCAGGAAATTGGCCAGCAAGCCCGAGGTGGCGGCATCAACCATATTCAAAACATTCCTAACAAGTGACAAAACCACTATGACACCCGAAGATCAAGAGGACTACAAGCACAGAATCAGCCACGAAATGGACATCTTGAAAACGCAGGTTGAATTTCAAGATGAAACTGCAAAAGTGATGCAAGATTTGACGCAAAACTTTGAAAACTTTAAACAATCAGTCACCAGAGAAGATGATGCGGTAATGGGCCTATTCAACGAAATCGGTTCCATAGACAGCATCAAAAACGCTTCTCCACTTTTGAAAACATTCAATGACTGGTGTAAGCTACAACTTGCAGCCGTGGTTTACCAAACATTCCTCGGCCTGGACGACTCCCACGCAATTTTGAAAAAGACGAAAAAGTTTCATCGAATGTTTCCCTACAGCCTTGTGTATGCCATTTTGCGCTTCACAAACCCAATGAAGATGGTTTCTCGAGTTATTGATTTGCTATTTGTGAATATTCCAAGATTACCCACGTGGAATAGCCAACTTGCCGAAGATTCAAAAAACTCGGGAGCCAGAAACTTGTTTTCCTTGATTCTCATCATGTTGTTGAATGAGGATTTGAATGGGTTTGAAAAGGAGTTGCACACGTTGAGGGAAAAGTTGACTGGGTACGAACTTTATATGGAGAGAATCGACAACTACGTCAACTTACCGCCCGCGGAAATGGAGCAAATCAAACTAGGTGGTGACAACTTGGTGTTAACAACATTATCCACAAACTTGTTACAACCGCCAGCTGATGACAGGGTAGAAGATATAGTGGCCTCTTTCAATGGAAAAGACACAACATTGTACCTCAACTTGAAGCAATATTGGCTTTTGAAAATCCGATCGCGTGACAAACTTCTTTTCAAAGAGTTGTGGAGACAACCAGAGCTCATAAACCTAATCAAAAGCACAGTGGACTATTTTTACTCCCCTTTGATCAGAGTATTTGCCAAAGCGAAAGTTCACATTGCCTTTTCAGCGCTAGAGGGATTAAACAGCGAGATGTTAAAAACCCTTTCTTCAATACAACGCAGCGACCACTTGAACTCCACCGAAATTTACCAAAGAATCAAAACGGTTTTGGACAATCACGAAGAGGTTATTTGGAATTTCATTCGGGATGTCTATGTCAACGATGATGAAAAAATCTTTTACAGGCTAATCGTTTGGATCGAGAGGTTTCTCACCTTGGTCAGATTGAAATTTGAAAACCAACAAGCGGTTACGCTAGATATCAAGGTGGACAACGTCACTCCATTGTTTAAACAGCAATTGCATGCTAAAATAGAGGCCACGTTGGCCAAAAGAAAACTATTCAAGGAATACTTGGAAGCAAAGAATCAACAGCAAGATGAGTTGGCAAAAGATTGGGAGAAAATGAACAACGGATTGCTAGGAGATACAACTGCTGATGATTTTGGTATAAAGAGCGAGGACATCCAGGATATCAACAATGTAACATTGGAGGAAAACATCCTTGAGTCTAACCAAACAAATCTAGAAAAGGAGCTACTAGCAAGATTGAACGCGATTGACAACAACTCCAATACGTCAGAGTTGGACAAGATAGATATAAGCAACGAAGTGAAAACAACACTACAAAGAATTAGACAGCTATATAGCTATTAGTCCTCAGCTTTCCTTTTCTTATACCCGGCTTTCTTATCTTCACCTGTACGAACCTCTTCATCTTGTGGTGGCTCCAAAAACCACGGAAGTTTCCCACGGATAAAATCTTCAATAATCTTTCTCGCCACTGAGCTCTCATCAGCCTCACCACCTTTCAACAAACGACCACTTTTGACAGCAAGTGTCTCCAACAAGTTTTCTCCACATTCAGACTCCTTGAGTCCATACGTTCGGGCAATGTACTTTTGCGGAACAATCTGTAACACCTCTGATAGGTACTGTTCTGGAGCCTTTACTTTTTCAACTCTAACAACACCACGTAGTAAAAGATCAGCGTCGGTGTCATTCGATTCCGACGGCACCACCCCTGGAGAATCAATAATATTTATCGAAGAGGTGACCTTAACGTACTGCCAGACTTTTGTAGCACCAGGAATTGGTGCAACAATACATGCCTTTTTGCCCACAATTGTATTTATAATGGAGCTCTTTCCGGTATTGGGGAACCCAATGACACCCACATTGATTGACTTTCTGTCCTTGTGCAACGTTGCAAACTGCCTAAGAAGCGAGATCAAAGATCCCTTTCCAAAACTGTTTTTGATTGATGCATGGAAAGCAATAGTTGGGTATGAGCTTGACAAGTGTTTCATCCAAGCAGCCTGTAATAATGTTAGTAATGCCCTTCAAAAAAAAACGGTAAAAATCTGGTAATACATACGGCTACCCACGTAGGGACCAAATCGGTTTTGTTCACGACAAACACAAGATGCTTGTGTGGACATTCTTGTTTGATATACTTTTCAATCCTCTCACATCGAGTACCCAAGGGATTCCTAGCATCGAGAACTTGCAAAATAACATCACTAGAGTCGATAACCTTGTACAACTCATTCCAAATCCTCTTACTTTGTCCCTTGTGGAAAATGGCTTCCTTGGCCTCCTGGGTGAAGTCATCTTTATCCAAAATGGAGTCCCCCATCAATCCCATTGTCTGATCAAGCTCAATCTTTTCGTCGTATGTGGTAGAGTCCTTCTCCGCGGTGGACATCAAATCTTCTAACGACGACGCAGCGATTCTAGGTTTCTTACGTTGCTGCTTAGGTCCAAATGTAGATGCAAACGATTCAGTCTCCACAATCTTGGCAGTTGGGCTCTCTGTCTTATCTTGGTCAAGTAACGACATGGGGAGCTTATTCCGTTTCAAGAGCACTTGATACGAATCGTCTTTTTTATCTCCCATCGCCTCCCTAAAGTGGGTCAACGCGTCCTGGGCTATAACTCTAGTATTTCCAAACCACTTTCTATTTGGATCGACCCTTGCATTGGGCACATCTGTACTCTGAAGATCGGCTGCCTGTATTATTTCTCCCTTGGCATTACGAACAGCCCTACCTTGCTTGTACATGCTGAGCTTTTTTACCTTTTTGGCATCACGGTAAAAGTTTTCACCCTTGACACGAAGATTACCATCCTTGGTATCGTTCTGTCTGATCCTTCTTTGCTTTTCCTTCTTTTGAGTCCCCATTGCTTATAAAAGGAAGAGGAGACAAAAGAGAAGATAAAATTATCGCGATGAGATAGAAAGAGATAAAAAAAAAAAAAGAAAAAAAAAAAAAGAATAAACCAAAATTGACAGTAACAATGTATTAAAGCTGTTGTACCTACTCCTTCGCCAACCCCCATATATTTCCCTTGTACCTTGTTGGGTCCACTGATTGCCTCAATAGCTCTTTAAAGCACTCCATTGATAAGTACGCATGTAATGTGGATGTGGGGTGTTGGCCCGCATTACCAAACAGCTGGCGAATGACTGGAGATATAGGCAACAAATGCAACTCTTCTGCCAAATACTCTATCGACGGCTTATTCATCTTCTCATCCGATCCTAAAACTTGATTACCGATGTACTTCAAGTCGTAGAAATTGGGAAAGTACTTATCACACCACCAGTGGAACTCGTCTTCATCCACAGGGAGACTATCATTTGTCAACAAGCTTATAAGAAACCCCAAATCATATCCTGCATGATACGACACCCAGTTGATGGAATTGTCCAACAACAACCCACTATCGATCAACAACTCGGCAAACTCAAAATGGTCTACTCCGCGAGACATATGTGCTTGGAAATTAACTGATGACTGTTGTGCCAACATGGCCAAATGCTCTTCACTGTACATCTCCTTTGTCAAATCGTATGCAAAGTTGAATTGCCAAATGACAGGATTTCCTCCATTTTTGCTGAAACAGATGCTGAGCTGTATTAGATTCAACAAGTCTGAGTTACACCTTATTGTTTGAAAGTGGTAGTCAGTACTTGTTTTGAAGGATCCAATTGCCCTGGCAACAATACCTGGTGTCTCCTGATGTATTGCTGCATATATCGTCACGCTTTTGTCGTTGATAAACTTGCGCAAGTTATTAAATTCGTACTCGAGATTGTTAGCCCAGACCTCCTTGACTATTGGAATCAGTTGCAGTTGTTGTTGCTGTTGCTGTTGCTGTTGCTGTTGCTGTTGCTGTTGCTGTTGCTGTTGCAGTTGCTGCAATTGTTGGAGCTGCAACTGTTGCAATACGGGATTAGCACCCAACCCAGCCCCATTCGTCAAGTGCTGCTGCTGAGACAACGGAGTACCTTGCTCCTGTAGTAGATGCTGCCTCTGAAGTAACTGCATTTGGGAAATCTGCGGTGACGACGTGTATAGGTGTGGATTCACATTCATGGTTTGTTTTGCCTACAAAGCTCTACTGTTCAACACAATTTTTTTTTTTTTTTTTTCTTTTCTTTTTCTTTGTTGGATTTTTTTACTTACAACTGATCACGATAGTTTTGTTGTAGATAGTCATGGCCCACTCGCCTTGGCTTGATCAAGAACTGCAACAAGAAACCAACACCCAACACTAGTGATACTACAGCAACAATAATATACACCACACCCAAAGCAACGTTTCTTCCACCGAAGATGGAGTTGGTGGTGATGACAATACTCTTTGTACCGCCAAATACTTTGACCGGGTAGTTCAAATCGATGGCGATTTGATAAGTGCCTGATGTCATTGTAGATGTGGTATTCTTTCCGTACAATTTGTAGAAGTTGGGAAGTGCTGCTGTACGCATCCAATTTTGCAAATGCTCCATTTGCTGTAGATCGGGCAAGTTGTCGTCTGTGTACCCATCCGGGTATTGTTTGTCCCAATTTGGTGGAGGCACAACATCCGCCGCCTTGTAGCTTGTTTTTTTGAACCGGTGACTGCGGTCAGAAGACCACGAAATGTCCTTATCTGTGAATGTGTATGTCTCGTTATCCGCTCCATTACGAGCATTCAACAAGACTGGCGACGATATGGTGTCGTTGAAAAAAGAGTTTGCAATCAATCCACAAGGGTAGATGAGCCTCTGCTCCCCTTTGTATTCTCTATGTTTCAATGGTTTGCAATTGTCCGTCACATCATCTCCAGACAAGGCTTTCCCTCCCAACTGATCCAAGTCATAGCTCTCAACATATTTTCTATGGTTCTGATAGAAGTTGGTCAACTTGTAGTACAAATAAAGTGGAGGCTTCAAGTCTGGCACATTAAACTGGATGACACACTGCGATCCATCCACTTTCCATTTAAACTCTGGCTTTGTATTCTCTTTGAAATGGAAGCCAGTATATTTTTCTGGAATCGACGTGAATGTGTCCGTTTGATCACCACAATGTGAATAGTCAATATTCACCTCCTGCACGTTATATGTCGTGTATATGATGGCTATCCCCAACGGAGCAAAAATCACTGCTAACAAAACAAGGAATGGAATCACTGACTTGGGAGTCAACAATGGCTGCCAAGCTTTCAATCTCTGCTGACGGAAAGCCGTGTTTGGTGGTTTACGTGATTTGGTTGTCTGGGACTCCTCAATAGACTCCTGTGACGAGTTAGAAGCCCTCCGCTTCCTGAGAAAGTTCATCATGCAGTTGACTTGGGTGGGACAGAGGTTGGCTGTGTACTACATATTTTTTTTTCCCTTTTAAAAAAAAACATACTCGCGCATTTTATTCTTTTTCTTACTTATTCTCCACAGCCATCAAACTTCCTACAAACGACAAGATCAATCTGCTTCTAACCTCGTTTATGTCCTCAGGAACCAACCAGATCAATGCTCCCAACTTTCTAGCAATAGAGATAGCCAACTTGGCATTGGCGTACCTCTCCTCCTCTGTCCTTCCTTCGTAAACCAAGTCGTAGTCAACATATCCCGGTGCCATACCATTCAAAACATCCAACAAAAATGTTCCCGTAGCCAACGAGGCGTCTTTGAAGGACCTAATTTGTGAAGACTTGTTTCCCTTTGTGACTTGTTGATTAGCCCATTTCAAGATATCCGCGTCAGATAATTGACCACCTTTGCCCAACTCAGCCAAGGTGTTGACAATGTTTCTTCTCATCAATTGCCAAACAAGACCCAAGTCTAATAACCTGTTTCCATCAACAATGTCGGACCCTTCTATACCAACTAGCGAAAACCCATTGGCCTTCCCTATTTCCACTGCATAGTTTGTATTTTCCAAAGCCTTGAATCGAGAAACCTCGCCACTAGCTGGCTTTTTGTTGACATGCTTGAATGAAACACTTCCCGGTATCACCTTGTCAAACGCTTGCAACAAAATCAACCCGTCTTTCAAATCTTCAAACAATGAAACAACTGGCGGGTCCACATCCAAAGAGTTGAGCCACAAAGTAAACACTCTAGCCTCACGCTCCCCTTCTGCATCAAACTCTTCAATTTCAATCTTCTCGTGCTCTTCAATTGGTTGCAAACCAGGGTGGGTGTTGAACAAGTTGGCAACAAAAGCCAAGTTCAACTTTGGATTCCCCGCAGTCAAAGACTTTGGGGTCAAGTATTTGCGACAATCGATTTTGTCGGCGTTTTCCAAAACTTGCTCAGCACGGGACAACACGTCGCTAGTCTTTAAAGGCGATAAGTCACAGACATCGGGCTTCAATTGGTTCAACAAATAGGTGTAGTTTTCACCATCACTAACGTCTTTACCAAAGTTTGTGACTCTTCTGTTGGTGCCGGCATTTTTCAAATGATAATTGAACCAACGCAAAAGAATTTGTTCAGGTGGAAGCCTCAAAAATTGCTCCAAAGTCTCGTCATCCTCCAACAAACGATACAATTCAGGGTGGTACTTGATATCCACTTTACTCAACAATCCTCTTCGAATAATCTGCCAAATCAAACCCAAAATCAAATGTTCTTTGCCGTCAATGATATCCTCAGAATGGACATTGACAACAACACACCCAATTGCCTTTGCCGAGTTAATGACAATGTTTGCATTCTCCGACATTTGGAAATTGTTCAACTGTTTCTTCCCCTTTGGCAAGTTCAAAACTCTCGTATCGATAGTGTCTGGAACCGAATCGTTGATCAATTTCGACAACACCAAACCATCTCTACACTCGTCAAACACTTGAAACGTTTCAGTATCAAAGGGCAATCGGTCTCCAATTTCGCCATCACCAGATAAAACGGAGTTAATATGTCTGGTGAACTCAGTACGCTCTTCATCATTGATGGTGTGGGTGGTTCCCGATGTCTTTCCCTCGATGTAGGTTTTATTCTTTGCGCTGGCGCTGGGAATTGGGGGAGCCGCTTTTTTGTGCAACTGTGGAGCCTCTGAAGCTCCTCCCTTTGACTCCTTCAACTTGGCAATTAAAGCAACATAATCATCCAATTCGACATGTCCAGAAGCGTCAACATCAACATGCTTCAATGTTTCTCTTGTCTCGTCGTAGGAATACTCTCCCTGTTTGCTAACGCTGTTGATCACATCTTTCTTCTCCACCCAACCTTTATCCTCCAAGTCAATTGCTCTGAAATCTTCAATTATATTGAAAAGGTCAGACTGTTGTAAGACGGGATACTTTTTTTGTAACTTCAAGACGTTCATTATAGTTGATGGGTTGGTCTTTGATGATAGCAAACTTATGTCCGAAGTTTCTAATTTAATTTTTCTTCTCCTCTGCGAGTGAGTGGCGTTGAAAGTGTTTTGAAGAGATAGTGGGGTGGTGGTACTAAAGCAGTTAATCACTCAGCACGAATGGACCACTAGAGGAAGTAGCAAGTAACAAGTGGTAGGGCCTTAGTAGGTAAGGACATGGATTAGCCTGAAATGGTTGTTGTTGGTATGTTCTCTCTAGTCACTTGTAGTCATTCGTTTTCTACTTCTGTGGCGCAGTCAGTCATCTTAAGAGAGCTGCTCCACGCTGCTGGGCCGGGTCTGCATTGCAAGCACCGCATGCTTGCTCTTTTGAAGCTCTACGATGTAAACCAGTCCATTTGTTGAAGCTTCTCTTTCTTTATAACTGCAACAACTGCAACTACTGCTTTCTTCTCTAGTTTTACTTCATTGGTAGCTCCAAAATTACAACCTCTCCTATCAACAACATCTACAACCCCCGCAGCTCCATGAATGGATCACGACGAATGGAAAAGACTGCCCCGTCTGTGAACGGGTCCACTAGCCCTTCAACATACACTGCACATTCCTTGGACCAGCAACAGATCTCCATATATAACAATCTACAGAAACCACTGTTTGAAGTCAAGCCAGTCCAATTGCAATTTGATTTACTTCATGCGTTGAACAAGCTCCTCGTCGCCAATAGCCAGATGTATCTATTTGTTGGAGATGTGTTGTACAAGATTGATTTGAATAACCCGTCAAAGTTGGTGAAGTTTACTATGCCATTGAAGGGTGGCTCATTCAAAGCATGGGTTGATCCAACAGCACAACATCTCATCGTTCGAATCGACCAGCAATACTTTTACTTGCACAAATCTTACAAATCATTCAAGCTTTTACCAAAGCTCAAGGGTATGGATGTTGAAGCACTTGCCTTTGCGTCTTCCAGCACAATTGTGATGGCTACGACAGCAGGATACATTTACTTATCAGCCATCAAACCACATGATGATGCCAAAAAAAGCGACATTCAACACTTGAAGCATGTCCACACTGTAGAATCTCAAGTTCGTGGGATAGCAGTCACCGAAAACCAATCGTTGATAAACATCATAACTAGAGATGCAATCTACACCTGGTCCTGTTTCGATACATCATTCAACGAGTTGTCAAAAGTGTTTAAAACCCAACCAGTTATGGAAAAAGTTGGCCCTAGTGACAAGTGGGTGTTGACTACGAGTGGCAACAAGTACGTCTACATTGGAAAAGACGTTGCCACCAACGATGACGAAATACAATTTTCCACATTGAATGACACCATAGATGATATTATTCTAACACCCCACCATCTTATCGGCTACCATGGTAAGCAAGTATTCATCTACAATAAACTCAGCCAGGAATCGAAAGTACTAAACATAGAAGAGCATATCAGAGGAATTGCCAGCGATGCCACTTCGTACTGGATATACACAAAGGACTCGATTTACGAGATAGTTATATCCAATGAGAGTAGCTTAGTCTGGTATGACTACTACAAGATGAACAAATTCGAGGAAGCTTTAAACTGTCTTGAAGATAGTGAAGAGAACTTTTTCAAAAGAGATTTGGTGTTGATCAAACAAGGATACGACTATTTACAAAGAGGCGGATTTGGACTTGAACTGAGCAACAAAGAACTTATCAATTTGCAAAAGAAGGGTATTGGAATACTAGCTAGACTGACGGAACCGTTTGAGAAAGTGTGCTTGATGTTGAATCTGTCACATGCGACGGGCTTGTTGATTGATTACTTGTTGGTAAAGTTTGCAATAAACAGAAAGAATAGAGTCAGAGTAGTTGTGCTATCCACTTGGATAATCGAGTTGATGACAAGAACAAATGATGAGCGGTTTTACGAATTCGTAAAGAAAAACCACAAACAGCTTGACAGATCCATCTACAATATTTTGAGCGGAGAAAGGGCCCTTTTCTATGCCGAAACCATAGATGACTACCAGTTCATTTTAAAGTACCAGATGAGTGAAAAAAATTGGCCACTCGCCGAAAAAGCTCTAATCAAGGTTTACTCAAGAAACGTAGACGAGGTGTATAATCACGCCAGTGCTTTCTTGTTGAACCACGCCAAAATTATCGACACATGGCTCAAGTTTGATTTGGATTATGAAAGGCTTCTTCCGGCTATACTTGCATACTGCGAAAAGAACCGCAAACTCCCCTTGAACCAAAACGCTGCCATCAAGTTTCTACTAAAGGTGCATGACAAGGGATACAAAAGCAAGCAACTAAACAATTACTACTTGTCCCTTTTAATCACCCACCACGACGATGCCAACCACTTGATTATAAAGTTCATCAATCATGAGACTGCATATGACCAGAACTTTATCCAAAGGCTATGCTTGCTCCATCACAAGGTGCATCCTGCAGTTTTGATCTACATTGACATGGGATTGTATGAGCAGGCCCTAGAGGTTTCTTTGAAAAATAATGCTATTGAATTGGGGGAACTTGTACTTGGTAAGTATGAAGAGATTGCCGAGGATGGCGACAAGTCCGAAGACGACAACAAGTTGGAAAAGGAAAGTTACAGCATCAGAAGACACTTGTGGTTGACATTTGCCAAGCATCTTATTGACAGAACTTGCGAGGGTAAGCAGGCTGGTCTTGACGAAGTTGACTCCTCGTCCAACAAGTTGAATGCAACACTCTCCTACATACAAAGAAACTCCCCACTAGGCTTGAAAGATTTATTACCACTTTTCCCTGAAACGGTCACTATAAACAATTTCAGAGACGAAATAGTGGACTCGCTCAACGAGTACAAGAGAACCTTACAGGATATAAACATGAGAATTCAAGAAAACCATTCCTTGCTCACAACTTTGAAACAAGAGGCTTTAGACGAGACCCAAAAGAAGTCAGAACACTACTCGGTCATAAAGCCAGGGTCCACATGCTACCTTTGCCACAACTTGCTAGCCACGAAAAAATTTATATTTTTTGACAACTGCCAACATGGTTTCCACAAGGAATGCTTGGTTCGATATAATCTCAAGTCAAAGGGCAACTACAACTTCAAAAAGCTTTATCAAAGCTTTATTCGAAACCAAGACAAGGATCATCAGGAGATAAAGCTGCAGATCGATGACATGCTATGCAAAGAGTGCATTCTATGCAATGAATCCAGTATCAACGAAATTGACATCGGTTACTTGGAAGAAAATGACAGAGATATTGACGAGATCAAAGATTGGGAGTTGTGAAGGTCAAAAGTAAATGAAATTTAATAATATTACTAGCAATGATTATAGAGCAACCTTTAATGCTCTATATAGTTCCTCTCCAATGAATGGTCCAAAGGATTTTTAGAAGTTGCAATTCAAATCAATTGCCAATCAACAGTAAATATTGGGAAATCGATGTAAAATTTGGATTTGTATTCACACGTCCACACTGCAACTCCCTTTTTGCAGTGAGGAAGTAGACTGAGAGCAACATTGATGTCATCAGCCGCGGCTTAAATAACACTAGAGCTCATTATGATGATAGTGGTTGTCTTTAGTCTTCAATTGGCACGTGACAAATGATATTCCGCACATCTTTGCCGAAATGGGAAATTAAAAACAGACCTTGCGGGATCGAGCTTTATCTGAGCAAGTCTTTAAATATCTTAACCGGGCAGAGTGAGAAGCTCCATATGAGATTTCAGATATAGCTCACACTCTTTGTACCATCTCCTCTTGGCATGTGCCTTTTGCTGCTGTTAGTAGATAAAATTTTCTTTTTTTCATTTCCACGTGACTCATTTTCTTTGCGCATTTTATCAACAAACCAACAACCATTGATTGCATTGCAAACTCGCCAAAGACACATTCCTAGACTACACAATGCCGGCAGAGCCCCACACTGACGAGCTGCCTCGACGGACTGCATACTTGGCCAAACTAGGACTACCACAAGTGACCCTCAGGGCAACCATTGTTGGATTACTAATCGGGTCAGTGATTTTAATATCAAATTTTCAATTCGGGTTGCAAACAGGCTGGGTGTCCATGATGTCCCTACCAGCGGCATTGCTCGGATTTGCTGCGTTTAAGCTAACGCCATTGTCGCTGAGCTTTACCGATGTGGAAAATGTCTACATACAGAGCATTGCTGTGGCAGTGGGCACTGGCCCATTATGTTATGGCTTTGTGGGTATAATTCCGGCAATTGAAAAATTCATGACTGGAGAGGAGTCAGGATTGGGACGACGTATCGTTTTTTCGACAAAAGAGCTTATTATATGGTCGATGGGGTTGGGACTCTTTGGAGTATTTTTTGCAATCCCGTTGCGGAAACAGGTCATTGTTAAAGAAAAGCTCCCCTTTCCTTCTGGAAGTGCCACAGCCACACTAATCTCAGTATTGCATGGAACCGAGATTTATGAAAGTGATAATGAGGAGGAGGAGGAGGAGGAGGAGGATGTCAACAAGAGTACAACTGGGCCACTTTTGCAACAACAAACATCTACAAGTCAACTTATCGACTCCACAGACTACAACTCCAACATGAAGTCCTTGACGTACACCTTTCTCATCTCGTCCACGTACACCATTGTGTCCTTCTTCTTCCCAGTTTTGAAAAAAGTTCCCATTTTTGGCACATCTGCATCGACGGAGTACTTGTGGGACTTTCAACCATCGCCAGCATACATTGGTCAAGGGATGATTATGGGTCTTCCTACAGTGTCGTACATGCTTTTTGGTGCTGTATTGGGGTGGGGAATTTTGGCTCCGTTGTCAAGGTACATGAAGTGGGCACCTGGTCCTATTGATGACTGGGTAACTGGTGGACAGGGTTGGATACTTTGGATCAGTTTGAGCATCATGGTTGCAGATTCGTTGGTTTCTTTTATTGTATTGAGTGTGAAGTCGATACACGATTTTCTAATCGACTACAAACACCGCCAAGAGTCGTACACCTTGGAATTGCAGCAATCGCTATTGGAACTAGATAGAGGAGAAAACGTTGGCAACAGAGCGACATCCCAACGTCTCGAAATCCCAAAACAGTTTCTCATTTCCAATAAGGTTGCGTTGATTGGCACATTGTTATCCACCATTTTGTGTGTGGTTACGATGCGGATCATATTTGGGAAGTTGATCCCAATTTACGCATCACTAACTGCCATCATACTTGCCATGTTGTTTAGTGTTCTTGCCACGAGGACTCTTGGTGTATCCGACATCAACCCAGTGAGTGGGATCGGCAAACTATCACAGCTTATATTTGCATTCATAATCCCCTCCAACCATCCAGCAAAGATTCTCATTAATTTGATTTCAGGTGGCGTTGCTGAAGCAGGGGCGCAACAGGCAGGGGATCTCATGCAAGATCTCAAAACCGGACATTTGATAGGAGCTTCGCCGAAAGCGCAATTTATTGCTCAAATCATTGGCACAATATTCTCCGTGTTTCTCAGCTCCATCATGTACCAAGTATACATGTCAGTTTACACCATCCCCAACGAAACATTTCGGATTCCAACGGCTGTTATATGGATAGATTGCTCACGTTTGGTCACTGGTGAAGGATTACCTCCAAAAGCAATGGAGTTTGCCATCACATTTGGAGTCATTTTTGCGATGATTTCCCTTTTGAAGCACACCTTGCCGCAAACTTCAAAGTATTACAAATACTTGACATACCTTCCTAATGGGGTCGCAGTTGGGGTTGGGATGTACAATACACCAAACTTTACCCTTGCCAGATTCATTGGCGGATTGATAGCATACAATTGGCACCATCTCAGCGATAGAGGCAAGACGAGCATGATTATATTTAGCAGTGGATTGGTGCTTGGAGAAGGGTTGTTTAGTGGATTTACCATGCTTCTTACAAGCTTGGGAGTCAAACATTTCTAGAAATTATAAACTATTTTGTGAACTTCTTTATCTGTAAGCATCGGTTTGAAACGCAACAAGCCAAAGACTCAATTAGAGGCTCAATACCAAAAATAAACTCTGCAAAATGTTGTTGATCTCAAAATCTCTTCTTTGTATTTCCCTCTTGGCAGATCTATCCCCATTACAAGCTCAATTACTATAATATTACAAAACGTATACCCTTCTCATCTCGTATTCCTCTGTCTATCAGCATTTATTCTTTGATTGATCAAGTAAATTGCCTTTTGGAAGGACTCCAACGATCCTGTCAAGGTAAGCCTTCTAATATTAGTCAAACCCCTGCCTCCTCCCAACATAATGGATTGTCCTCTGTCTGGTTCAATTTTCACATATGTACAGCCACTGTTCTCCCTAATGTGTTTGATGTTATTTCCACCTCTGCCAATAACTGATCCAATCAGCGAGTTGGCCACGTAAAGGTCCTGGTTGTACTTGTCACCCGCGAGGACAGGCTCCTTCACAATCACGTCACCAATCATGGTGTTATTATACTCATCTGTGTATTGTTGTTGGGGAGGCGCTCCTTGTGAAATAGGTGGCGCTGGTGGTGCCAGTTGCCCATACTGTTGTTGAGGTGGTACAGAAGGTTGAAACATCACTGGAAAATTGTATGGCAGGTGGCCGTCCTGTTGAAATGGCTTCTGATAGCCTAATGGGTTGCCATATTGGCTTGCTGGTACACCTGCTTGTGGAATATTTGGGAAGCGTTGATGTGATTGTTGTTGGTGTTGTTGCGAGGGATGTGGTGGTGGTGGTTGATGCTGACCACCGAGCTGGTTCCCGTCGTGGTGATGAATTGCGGGATTGTATAATACCACCCTACCCTTTTTCAAAGCGTCTCTGTGTTCAATCACCACCTCTCCTATAAAGTAGACAGCGATGTGGATGGCGTCGGCCACACCCAAAACACTAAGTACACGGTCAGTTGACTCTCCCAAGGGGTGTTCCGCGGCTTTCAACTTTGCTGCAGAATTCTCTTCAATCTCTCTAAACTTAAGCCCTTGTTTTCCAATTATGTATCCAATGATGGCATTTGGGACCAACAATTTCAAATTGTACTGTTGACTGTTCAAGTCTGCCGGTGTATCTTCTGGCTCACCTAAGATGGTCCTCACAATAAGTCCAAACGCTTTCGCAACATTTTCTGCAGTTCCTTTTACAGTGATTATTCTTTCTGGGACATCTTTCAAGTTGTCACTTATGTGTATTTTTACGTTGGCTTTTTCCCTCAAGTGATGTATTTTGGCTCCTTGTTTGCCGACAATGGTACCGGCTTCCTTAACTGGACAATACATTCTGAAGGACACTTGAGATGTATCCAGATCTTGTTCCTTTTGATTGGCGGCGACGCTAGACTGAGTCAATTCCTCTTGAGGTGGTTGCACATCCGCCGGGGGTTCGCTTAGACTGGATAAGAGTGCCGCTTCTTCTAAAAACTTGTCAACATCGGCTTGCAGTACCTTATTGGGTTTGGAAGATGCATTTTCGTCAACATCGTGTATATTTTCATGTCCATCATTTACCTTTTGTTCAGCATTGTGCTCCTCTTGGTCTTGCTTGTCCAGTTCCTCTTGTTGTTCTTGCTCCTGCTCTTGCTCCTGCTTCTTCTCCTCTTGCTGCTCTTTCTGACCTTCTTCTTCAAAATTATCCTGATGCGCTTCGTTTTGCTCACTTTGCTCACTTTGCTCATTTTGCTCATTGTGGTCCCCACCTTCAGCTTTCTCCTTTACCTCATCAACAGCCCCTGATTCCACGGCAGCCACATCATTAGAACTCTCTTTTTTCTCCAATTGCTCACTATCTAAAGCAATCCTTTTGTTATGTGAAAAAGACTCATTTTCCAAACCCTCAAGTTCGTCACTCACGTCTTCGTTTTTACGTTTCAACGCATTGGTCGTGGGTTCCGGAGTGGCAGATTCGGACATATTCGTAGCACAGTCACACAATAGATATCCCCAGCAGTAGCAATGATATGAATTGGGTACCAATCGATAAAACAGATGATGAAGTCAAGCTGGTGTATTTTGAGTTTTCTTTTTTTTTTTTTTCTTTCTTTCCGTCTTTCATCGTAAACTCTACACCATTTTTTTTTTTTTGAAGCAATGCACACTACCTTCACTATAAATTCTATTAACTTCTGTTTTTACTTCTTATGCTTCTTTGCAATCCTCTTTAATGCTCTCTGTTCATTCTTCATAACACCATCGACCATCTTATACTTACCCTTGACACCCTTTGGCCTTCCACTAAGCCCTCTATTAGATCCTCTGGCAACAACAACAGTCATTTTCTTTCGTTTATCCTTTCCACTGTTTTTAGCCTTTTGCATCAACTTGGAAATCTCTGCGGCTTTGTCGTATTCGGACTTAGAGCTATCCTCATTGATCAAGTCGGATTTCTTCTTCAATTTCTCCAAACGACGCAAAGCTCTCATCTTCTTTCTACCCTTAGCCTCCAACACTTTCTTTATAGGCCTGGCGTTCAATTGCTTGAGTTTCTCCTTGATTGCCAAACTGGCCTCTTTAGAAATCGGCTTGATCAATTTCGAATGCTTTTGTTCATCATCGAGGAACCATTCAGGGAGGTTCTCTTTGTCACGGAAAGAGTATCTGTTGATACCTTCCTCAATGAGATCTTTCTTTGACATTTGGCCAAGTGCCACTTTATGGGCCAAGGTCATCGCTTCTGCTGTTGTTATGTCAACCCTCTCCTTGTTGGACAAGTTTTCGTCATCGCTTTCATCGTCTTCTTCCGCGTTGTCGTCAATTGTGTTTGGCACAATCTCAAAGTCGGAATCAGAATCGGATTCAAAGCCCGCTATAGCTTCTGTTTCAGCTTTTCCATTTGTTGGAACTGTTGCCACTGCTGCCCCCTTTTCAGATCTAGGTCTCGATTCTTCGATCAAATCCTCATCATCAAGCTCATTGAAAATTGAATCTGATTGAAAAAAACTTCTCGCGGTTTTAGTGAGTTCTCCATTCTGTTTACCCTCGGCTATCAATTTGATATGTTCGTCGTCATCCTCATCCGAGTCCAGACCATCCACTTCGTAGTCTAGCTCATCTTTTTCTTCCTCGCCTGACTCTATACCATCCCATGCCTCATCATCACCACCTCTAGCCAATTTGGCTTTATATTTAGCATCTCTTTCGGCCCTTCGGTTTTGATACTGCTCATACATATCATCCAATTGAGCCTCCAACTCGTCAATCTCATCCTCACTGTTTGCATCCTGTTCATCGAAATGAATTTCTGTATCCCTTGCGCGATCTTCCTCCGAAAAAACCATTGCCTTTTTCCCAGCAGCTAGTTTGCTCAACTGGCCCGACTTTTCAGCAGTCTTTAAATTGAACAAAGAATCTGCCCCAATTTGCGCAGCATCTATACCAATATTCATATCAGTAACCATTTGCATTTGGTTTCTAATAATCTCCTTTTGTTTCAACTCGTTTGCCGTCTTTTTGGCTCTTTTAGCTTTTTGCTTTTGCTTCTCCAACATTTGGTTCAATTCTTGGTCTATTTTCTGCTCTTCTGTCAATTCCTCCACTTCAATCTCAGGTTTCTCCTCCTCCTTGTCGATTCCCAACAAGTCCCTGGCTTGTTTACGGAACCGCAATATATGTTTAAACTCCTTCTTTCCAAGAATTTTCAAATCCTTAAAACACTCTCTCAACTCTTCACTATAAGACTTTAGCTTCTTCACAATCTTCCACTCATGGTCACTTTCATCAATATCAAACTTGTTGAGTTGTCCCAACTGGTTTATTGGATCATCCTCTTTGATAAATTGCATGATTGGCATGGTATGGAACAAAGTGTAATCTCCCTCTTCGTAACCTTGTCTTTGCCTTCTTTTTTTCTCCGGATTGAAAACCTTCTCCTCGTTGTTAACACTCTTTTTATCATTCAACTCCTCAAACACTTCACGAGGGTCCAATAATCGAGGATCCAATTTCTTTGGTGCTTTGAATCCCCTACACACAACGAAAATTTCTGCAGAAACGTTTCTTGAACTTGGCGGTTTCGTGGCCTCAACCTTGTCGAATAATTGTTGAAATACCCACATCAAATTGTTGTAATCTCTTGATCGGAAAATCTTGGTGACAAATGTTCCACCCACAATCAAGTTCTCAACTGCCAACTTCAACGCCTGCAAGGTCAACTGCGACTGCGTGAAGGCATCTTGAACCCAACCCAAACCAACGTTTGGGGCACCATCATGTAGTACTGTGTCAGCCTTCCAAGTTTTCATATGTCCACGCAATTTACTCCTACAATCTTCAGTGGTGATGTCACTTTGAAATGTTATACAATTTGGCAAGGGCTTTATAGGGACAATATCCACCCCAATAATCAACGAATTAACAGGACATAGCTGTGATGCAACTTGACACCATGACCCTGGTGCCGCACATAAATCAATGACAACCTTTGACTTTTCCAAAAAGTGACCAAATTTTTCATTTATCTGGATGATTTTGAATGAAGAACGAGCACGATAGCCCTTTTCTTTTGCAAGGTAGTAGTATCTATCTAAACGCCCTTTGCTGTTTTTCTTCTGCACTTTCCCCATGATGAGATAATGAATATGTTGGATGGAGGAGATGTGAGATGGGGTTTCCACGATATCTAATTTTTTTTTTTTTTTTTTTTTTTTTTTTTTTTTTTTTTTTTTTTTTTTTTTTTTTNGTTAGAGGACAGCTTGAGTCCACACTATAATGCCAGCGTATGCAGGGACCAGACAAGTCACTTGATATAAGGGCGGCATACACAGAGACTGACCCATATACAAGATCATGCTCAAGTTACAGCTGCTGTAATCATACTTGAGAGTGTCCAGTAGTCGCATTTCTACTCATGCATTCCTGCGACATCGAAGTTTACGACACTGGCAGTTTACGACACTGGCAGTTTACGACACTGGCAGTTTGGTACATGTGGCTGATGGAGTTTGTGGAATTTTCGACCCAGCTCTACCATTTACCGAAGCTTAGAGTGTTTGACCTTTCGAGGAATGAAATCACTCATGTTGATTTTGATTCAAAAGTGTGCCGTATTCGTTCTAAACAATCTCCTCCAGAACCTCACATTGGAGTATGTTGTGGTGCGAGATAAATCAACCACAAAAAGTACGCCAACGCTTTTACATACATAGTTGGCAGACCTCATTTTTTTGCCGTAATTCAAAAACCAGATTTTTCTATAACCAGACACTTCTGCAAAGGAAGTTGTAGTGCTGAGAGTGGTCCATTTTTTATACCACTTTTGCAATAGCAATTTTTTTCCTGACCAAAGTATGAAGATTTAGCCAGATAATTGTACCAAATTTTACAGAAAAATGTTAGTTGACTAGGGACTATTTCGTAAAATGCGACTTCCGAGAGGAGGTCCTATGCCAAAGACAAAAGTGAGAAGTACTGAAGATACAGAAAATCTGTATGTGTTTCCTGCAGAGAGTGTTCTACAGTACAACTAATGTTTAAAACAAATTTAAATTCAACTCAGTTCTAAACACTGCAACTATTGATAAGTTTGTGGGTCGCCGATGCTCTTGTCCCCACTGGCAATGTTAAAGCTCTTGCCAAATGTGTCTTTAAAGCTAAGAATATCGAAAAGAGCTTGAGCAACATCAGCTCTAGGGATAGTTCCACGGTCTTCGCTGATACTTTTCAAGACCCTGATCTTGCCCGTAGGCGACTCATCTGTCAAGGAAGTAGGCTTGACAATCGTGTAGTCCAACTTCTGGCCGAACTCATCAATCAAAATACGGTCTGCATAATGTTTTGCGATGTAGTAGTTTCTGATACCAGATCGAATACCAGCTTCACGATAGTCGGCAAACAATGCACTTACCAAAATCAACCTTCTAACCTTTGCTTCGACTGTGGCTTCAAAAGCTTTCACCACACCATCCAAATCCACTTGCAACAAGTTCTTTCCACCAGAGCCAACGGTTAAAATAACAGCATCGTGACCCTTGATAGCAGAAGTCAAGTCGGAAACCGATGCATCTGCAATATCCAATTTGGTAGTGGTGATGTTTGAAGAACTAGACGAAATATCTTTGATGGCGGAGGCTTGCTCGTCGCTTCTCACAACCGCTGTAGCCTTGACGCTCAGCTTAGCAACTATCTTGATCAAGTTCTGGCCCACTTTACCATGGGCCCCAAATACGATTAAGTTTTTGATGGCTGACATATACTCAATTGACGTTGTGGGTGGGGTTTCAGAGCAAATTGGAGTTGTCGGAGAAAGAGAATGATCTTTAAATTTATAAAAAAGTCAGGACAGATTTTTGTGGCGGCAAAACCGCTTAAAGTTGCTAAACGCAACCACACTTTTCCATCTCGAAACTCCGCAACTCGGCAATTCTACAACTCGGCAAAAAAGAGCGGAAAACCTGCACCACGAAAATTGTTAGCATTCCTAGTTGTATTTAACATATTACAGATTAACAAATGCTTTACGAAAGTCAAGAAGTTACAGATAATGTACTGTAGGCTAAGTTGTTTGCACAGGATTCAATATTCTTGCGTTCCAACAGTGAGCGTTTCAGCACTAAGTTGGCCGACGTTCTTCAAGGAGATTTAGAGAGCAGCCCCAAACTGCATCTACACCTCCTCTACACATCATCATCTATCTCTCATTTACTAATCTTCTCCAAACAATATATAGTTCAATATATCGCTCAATGTAATCACATTAATCAATCTCCCCTCGTCATCAACAACAAACAACCTATGCAACCTTGACTTCCGGATCGTATCCATAATAGTGCTCAACCGATCATTCACAGTACAGGTATGCACACCTTCAAAATCTTCTGATCTCCTCAACAACGCCTCACCCACTGACAAGTCCAAGTCAGTATACATACCACCCTTGACCAATGCCAACACATCAACAGTTTCATACACATTTATCAACTTTCCCTCGTCGTTGATTATAGGAATGGACGATACTGAGTTTGAGGCCAAAAGATGAATCACCTCAATAACCGGAGTATCCATCGTACAAGTGCTCAATTGTTTTGGTTTGTTTAGTTCCGTATGTTGGATTGGCTTGAGCAACATCTTAGTCTCTTTACAATTTAAAGCCACAAACTTCAAAATACGGTATTGAGTCAAGACACTAACAACAATATCTCGTGCTTCATTTTCATTTGTATCCAACAACGGGATCCTCCTCGCCTTCGACTCCAACATCTTGACACACGCTTCGTATAACGACTTGAAAGGGTGTATCGAGGCAGTTTCAATTTGATCAACACCAATAGCCTTTTCGACATCTCTCAACCCATCCAAAGTCAATTGGTCAACGAGTTCAAAATTCTCGGGGAACTGGAAATAGTACTGGATAACATTGATGAAATCGCTTGACGTTAGCAAGCCGGCAAACCGAGAGGTCTTGTGGTTCCATAATGGAGCGGAAACGATGTTATTCTGTAGCAAGATGTTTAATGACTTTTTGACCAAGAGGGATGTATCCAACACAATTAGTCTGTAACTCACCGGCAACACATCATACGAAGTTTTGCTTTGTAAAAATAATCGAATGGCTTTGATACCTATCTTTTGATCATGGTTTATCTGTTCTTCTGACAAGCTAAGTATGTAGTCATTAGGAGTAGAGCTTGAAGGCGGTGCAACGTCAGTCATCCTTTTGCGATGTAGTCAGACTGGTTTCCTGTGTGCGTTGAGATATTACTGAGGAGATTATTGTTGAAATGTTGTGTGCGCTCTGTTTATTGATTGATGTTGAGCAGAATCAATTTTTTTTTTTTTTGTTTTTTTTTTTTTTTGTCTCTCCCTTTGTGGAGTAATTCCATGGCGAAGGAGGAGGAGGAGGACGAGGAGGAGGAGGAGAAGTGAAGAGACATCAACCATACTATGTATATTATACTGAGTGTACACCAAGACCTACATCTGCTGCAATTGTTTTTTTAAACCTTGATACTAACTTTCTCCATCAAGTCATTTATCTCTGATCCTTGAAACTTCAACCATGTAACCAACTTCTTTACTTTTTGTTGTAGTTGTAAATGCTCCAAAACGTCCTTTTCATCTTCACTTTCCTCTGGGTTATTCTTTTTACATTCTTCCACTCCATTGCCAATATCCTTCAATTGTTCAATAAGATGTAGTGTGGTTTTGTTCCATTCATTGATCTCGTTGAAATATTCCTTCTCCTCTTTTGAAAGAGGAACATTCTTGACCTTGTACATTTCATCATTAATCTTTGCTTGTACATGCTTTATTCTCGAGTCGAGCTCCTCTTGCTTCAGCAAGGCTTTGCTTATCCTTTCATCAAGTTCATTATTATACGGTGTGTCATCGGCCAATTTCTTCAACGTTTCAACTTGCGATTTTAGCGATTTTAATTGAGCAAGGGTTCTCGATTGTAGTTTGATTGCGTAAACGGTATACCCAAACACCGCTTGGTTAGTTTCTAGTGAATCCTTGTTCAACTTTTCAAGCACCTCGACGGTTGGCTCAAGTTTAGTATTGGGATCATTTTTCAAAGTCACTGAACTTTCCAACACCTTGAGACTCGACTCAATTTCAGCGAAAGGCTCCGCAGAAATGGCTAGCGATGGCACACCTGGCTTGTCCTCGATGCTCAATGGCACCTTTACTTCCTTTTCTTCTTCCTCAGCGACAACTTCGGAATTTATAGTCACAATTTCCAAATCATCACGTACTATAATGCCCACTTCCAGGTCAAACTTTGTTAAAAGTGCAAACCCATGAAGATTCTTCCCTGAGGAGAGGAGGTTGTACGTTGGTTTAATCTTGTCCAAAGAGTCAATACTATCATTCTCCAAATCACTCACAAGCTCCTTCACCCATCCACAGTTGACAACAACCAAACTGCCATCAAAAACAGCAACAAACTTGTCATCATAGCCGTTGAGATTCCTCAAATAGGCTCTTCCATTGAAAGGCAACTTTTCTGATTGCAAAAACTCCAACAAATTCAAGTCCAGTTGCCAAAACAACTTTTCAGCATTCACGTCATCAAATGAGTCAACAAATCCAAAACCCTTTTTGGGTTTGGCATAAGTGACCAGTTTTGGCTCCTCGTACTGTACCAACCCAGATCCTAAAATATTCGAAAAGTAGGAGATTGTATCGTTTTTTATTGTCGCCAAGAGTCCAATCTGTTCATTATCTCCAAACGACACCAAGTCATCAGCCCCAACTTGGGCCACTTCTCTAGGTTTATAATCGGGTGCTTTCGCCCTGAGCTCAACAATAAACAACTCATACGGATTATCAGAGTACAAGCCTCTAACCTCACGCAAATTGTTCAGAAGTTGACGGCGTAAAGAGTCGTACACCTCCAATTGTGTCTTTGCCAGACTGAGCAATACTGACTTTTCAGGAAATTTATCCTTGATAATTTCAATTGTGTTTTGTGAGTCACTAATTGCAACATCGATAGCTGATTCAGACACAGCAATCTTTGTAGAATCATTGTAGAAATCAACACTAACAATCTTGTCATCAGTTGACGCGTACAACTTCAACCCGTCATTGATCTTGCTACGCGACCCAAATGCAATTGAGTTGACCTTTTCCTCAAAGGAGATCTTGACCAAAGGGACAGTTGCCGATCTCTTCAAATCAAAGCCAAACACCTCCGACTTGTCGTTTAGAATCACCAACATTGAATCATTGGCAACGATCGATTGCCAAAGCACTTTCCGAATCTTGCCAACATTGGTAATCCTATAATTCTTTGCCTCAATGTAGACCGACTTTTGCTTGGTGTTCAACACCGGTGGGAGAGAAACAACATCGACTTTAGAATCCCCAACAATGGCCAAAAACGAACCCGATTCATTAATCTCCAACGACACAACTTCGAAATCAGCACGTGGCGTCTTCAATAGCTTGTAATTTGAGGTCACTGGGTTGATAGTACAGCATCGAACAAGGTTTCCCTGTGCAAAGAACAATTCTGAATTGTTTCGACAGACTAGCTTGTTGTGTGGAATGCTTAGTGTTGGTGCTGATGCTGATGGTGCCGTTGCATTGGGTTCTGTTGTGTTTGGAAGTTTGGCAAAATTGAAATCTATCGGAAAATGATGTTGAAAGATCAATTGCTTAGTAATCAGTGATACCAATCCGTCAGACATAGTGTTTGCAGAGAAGTAGTAGAGGGGGGGGGGAAGGGGGAAGGGGTTTGACCGTTGCAGTGCCCTCTTTTTTTCTCCCTCTCTCTCTCTCTTCCTTCTCCCAAAAGAAGTTGAAAAAATTGACCACAGGAGAAGCAACACCCAAGAAGGAAACCACCAGTGTGCTAGTATGAGCAAACAGTTCATATCAACAGTGAGTGCGTCGCAAGCGCACAAGTCAGATATATTAGGCTTGGAAATCACACCACGGCATACAATTTCAGTTTCCAGTGACGGGTACGCCAAATTCTGGGACAACAAAAAGGATGAGGTTCACAATCCAAAAGAATTCGTTCAATCAGTACTTATTGACAAGAGTGGAGTGCATCATTTGGCCGTTTACGAAAACAAAATACCGAGCTCGACGATAAAGGTAACCATTATAGCATTTGCATGTTTCAGTGGACTGATTAAGTTCAAGCAGTACGTCAATGGTGACTTAACCACGTTGGAGGATTGCAACTTCGAATTGACCAAGAGCTGGGTCCCTGGGTTCTACATCGATCCAGAATCAAAGCAAGATTACTTTATAGTGAACAAGATGAACGGAGTTACCGAGGTGTACACACTCGCAGTTACAGCAGAGGGAGATAAAGTTGGCTCTGTATTCACCAAGTATGGCGACTTGAGGAGTGGCGCATCACCAACTGCTTCAACATCTACCACATCTTCAACATTCCCCATTTCGCTCGCAGTCAATCAAACTGACAATAAAAAGTGTGCTGTTGGGTACATCAATGGAGACGTGCTCTTGTATGACTTTCAAAATTTAAAAGTTGTCTACACATTCAGATCAACTGATTTGGTAATCAGCAGGAACCCAAAGCTCAATTCATCTTCCTCAGCACCTCGTGTTCTAAAGTTTTCACCAGGTGGTACTCTACTAGCAGTAGCAAGAGACAACCAAGCAGCAGGGTCCATCACCTTGTACGATGTGCAATATGGTGAAAATGTTGGAGCTTTAGCAACATCGTCACACTCAGCCAAAAGCGCTGTTGGTGGATTTGCACACCAAGGTTGGATCTTGGGTCTTGACTTTGACGAAGAAGGCAAAAGCTTAGTCTCGTGCGGGTTTGACAAATGTGTTCGAGTGTGGAATTTGGAGACTAGAGAACGTGAGGCAACTATAAACATCTCCGTCACAGACTTGGATGAGACAACCAGCGACGATGAACAGGATGAAAGCGTTGCAAGCGGGGTCAAATTCATTGGAAAGGGCGTAAGAGGCGGTGCAGGAGGTGACACCAATGTGGGAATCTGTGTAATTAGCTTTGATAGAGGTATCAGATGGTATAGAGAAGCTGGTGGTATATAGATTGTATAGAGAAGCTGGTGGTATATAGATTGTAATCTTTTTTTTTTTTTCTTTTTTGGTACTTTAACGTCCTAGCCAACCGCCATCAACAACCAAAGTCAGACCTGTAACATAACTCGAGGCATCACTACATAAAAACACAATAGGTCCTCTGAAATCCAGTCTGTCTGCCCATCTTCCCATAGGAATCCTCTTATCAACCAAATCCTTGCTCTCTTGGGACATGTTGTCAGTCAATTTCGTCCTAACGTATCCCGGAGCAATGCAATTGACTCGGATCCCACGGGCACTCCACTCATTAGCCACAGCCTGAGTGAATTGCTTGATGCCACCCTTAGCTACAGCGTACGGAGATGACGCGTACCCACCTTGAAAAGAGAGTAGTGATGAAGTAGCCACAATTTTCCCCTTTGTTCCCAACTCTAGCATTTTTGCTCCAAACCGTTGAGTTAATTTAACGGGAATGTTCAAATCAACTTTGATCACAGCGTCAAACTTATCCTGAGGAAATGTCTCCACTCGGCTCCTTTCAGTTATACCAGCATTGTTGATCAATATGTCAATGGCCCCAGTGACTGAAAGGTTATACGCTTGAGTAAAGATCTTGTCAACAATGTCGTCCTCTTTTTCTTCAACAAAGTCCACCGGAATCGAATCAATCTTTACATCGGCATTGAATTTTTTAATCTCTCCTATTGCGGCATCAAGTGTAGAATGTGATCTATAGGTTAAGATTAATTGCTTGATACCAGCAGAAGCAAGCCCTTCGGCGTATCCTAATCCGATACCCAGAGTTGCACCTGTAACGACAGCAACTTGACCTTCCAATGAAAACAGCGACATCTAAAGCAAATTTATAAGCAGAACTAAAGCTATAATTCAAACGAGAGGAGGCCCTTCCAGAGTATGGAACTGTTGAGCTATTTATACCTTAGAGCCTCCAAGATTGCGAATAGGTGAATGTCCGTTTTGTGTACAAAAGTATTATCAACAATTTTGCTGCAGAGCTCTACATTTACTTTAACAACTTACCTCTGAATGTATTCATTACCTCTATGCACTTAGCAAGGTGGAACACGGCATCATCAGGATACCGAGGTCCCTCTTTAGAACCTGGGTTGACCGTGGTGGAGAACAAGACCATTGGCTACCTTCCCTGATCCCCCACTTACGTGGTTGGGGGATCAAGATTTTACAAAGAGACCATGCGTTTCTTCACGACTGCAAACTCGGCCCGACTTTACATCTATTCAAACCAGAAACACAGCACAAAGAGCAAATTTCAACAGCATATCTATTCTTTACTTCTATAAGAGCAAAAGCTTAAACTACACTGCACTACACTCCCATACACCCAACTCGGCACCTCTGCACCTCTGCACCTCCCATCTTACCGACCCAACCACCCCCCATCAACAACCAAAGTCAGCCCCGTCACATAACTCGACGCCTCACTACACAAAAACACAATCGGCCCCCTAAACTCCTCACACCTACCCCACCTCCCCACCGGAATCCTCCTGTTCACCAACTCACGATTCTCCACCGACATTGTACCTGTCATATTTGTACCCACGTACCCTGGTGCCAAGCAATTGACACGCACACCCCGCGCACTCCACTCATTTGCAACCGCCTGGGTGAAGTTCTTCAACCCACCTTTGGCAGTAGTGTAAGCGGCAGTATACACACCGCTTTGGAAACTGAGCACCGACGCCGTGTTTACAATCTTGCCCTTGGTGCCTAACTCGAGCATTTTGGTGCCGATGCAGCGTGTCAATTTCATGGGGATGGTCAAGTCGACCTTGATGACGTTGTCGAATTTGTCCTGGGGGAACGATTCCACGGGGTGTCGCTCATTTATACCGGCATTATTTATCAAAATGTCAATTGCGCCAGTGATTGAGCAGCTGTACGCTTGTGTAGTGACCAATTCCACGATTTCGTCTTCTTCCATTGAAAGAAAATCAACGTAAATCAGACTGATGACGACATCAGGATTGAATTGTTTAATTTGATTCGCTGCCGCATCTAGTGTAGGCTGCGATCTGTAGGTTAATATCAATTGTTTGATGCCAGCTGAAGCCAATCCTTCCGCATAAGCAAGCCCGATGCCCAGTGTCGCTCCAGTGATCACGGCAACTTGTCCATCAAGTCGAAACAACGACATCGTGAAGAATGAATGGAGTATTTCATTTTGTAAAAAAAGCTCTAGATACTTGTAAAACAGGGTCTATATATAACATTATCATTGTGGGGGTGATTGTCCACACCCCTCTCGGAGTTTTTGATGCTTGGATATGCATGGAATGCGCTAGTGGGGAGGAGGAGGTGGGGGATCGCACAAAACCAATCAAAAGATATAGCCGCAAGGATATCCATTTCCCCGCCGGTAAACGTACCCACCCACACTACACAAATAATCGTAATGCAAAAGGTTTCATTAAATATGTAAATATACCTATCTACGCAATACAAATACACGCCATCATCACAAAACAATAAGCAGTGTATACTCCCACCCTCACTCTCACTACTTCTTTCTCAACCAGTCAAAAAACCTCGAGCTACGTTTCATCCCCGCCAGCGACAATGAATCCTCAACATTGCTCTTTGATCTGGTGTGTCCTCCTCCCCTGCCTCTTCGTCTCGCTTCTTCTCCACCTGCTGCACCTGTGCCACCAAGTTGTAATTTCTTCAACTTCGACTCGTTTGTCCAACTGAGTGACAAAGCAGCCCCATCATCATGTTGTATAGACGTAGATGATGCCGCTTTGGACAAACTAGACAGTTGCTCATTGGCATCAGCGACGTTTTTCTCCTGGAGTCCTCCTTGTTTCTTCGTCAACATCTTCTCACGTTTCAGGTTCGGATACTTGAGATAATCGTACTTGCTCATGGGGGCGTCCAACCTCACCGTTGTGTGTTTTGGAATTTGGGTTTGTTTGAGGAAATTAGATTCTGTTGGTGATAGTGGTCGACGAGACAAAGTTGCACCAGTACTAGGCAACTCCAACTCACTTGTTTTTCTTTTTGGAGTTGATGTTGACATCGACATCGACATCGACGCGCCGGGCAGTTTGAATGTCAGTGATATAGGCGATGACGTAGATGACGATAACGGCAGTGATTTGATAGTCCCTATATCCGATGATGGTGGCGCCAACACAATCTGTGGATGGGGTTTGTCCGAGTGACTATCATTGTTGTTGCTGTTGTTGTTGCTGCTATGCTCTTGGAGTATGGAGGACAGCGACATGTTTGAACCATTGGTTATAGAAGCGGTTGTCACGATTCGTGGAGATGACAGGGTATTCAGGATGGTCGACTCACTCTGAAGCAGAATCAGGTTCTCATTGCTATGTCCCAGTTGAGGAATTGGAAACAACAGCCCTGAGATTGTTGACGCCGAACCTTGATTAGGCAGCGACGGTTCCAAATCTTTTGTGGAAACAACAATTGATGGTTTGGAGTCAGATTCAACAACTTCTGTTTGTTGAGTTGTCAGCAGTTTTGTATCAGCGATTACCATGGACGATATTTCAGAGTTGACACTGATTGGACTAGTTGACGCATCTGCTCGTTTATTGCTAATCGCAGTGGATACCGACTCGGCAGTTGATTGTGTGGCTAAAGTGGATGGAGTGGAGCATTGTGGTACTGGTGGATGTAATGAAGTTGCCAAGTCAATAGGACTAATAGTGATATTGGTGTTGGTGGTGTTGGTGGTGTTGGTGTTGGTGGTGTTGGTGCTGTTGGTGCTGTTGCTGTTGGTGCTGTTGTTGCTGCTGCCATTGCTGTATCCAAAATGCACATTATTAGAATTGACATTTCCATTGTACTTTGACGGCGATAATGTCGATTGTAATCGATAATACTCCTTGGTTGGGGATGACGCCTTCTTCAACTCATTATACCTTATCGAGGAGAAAGAACGCTTGCTCTTTAACGTAGGCAACGATGAGTAATGGTTGAGATATCGAGTCTTGCGTAAAGCCGGTTGTTGCAGTGGATGTTGTTGCAACAGGAAAGGAGCTTGCCCTGCATTAGACGTTTGCGCAGATTGTGACGTGGTGGAATTGTAGGGACTGGATATTGCTGAAATTGTTGGCGATTGTGGTAGTCCTGAAGTTGTTGCAGACAATGGTGGAGTGTTTGTATTACTTCGTTCGATACTCTCAGCAGACCCTCTCATTGCATTGGAAATACGATTAGACTGGTCGTAAAAAATTTGATATCTATGAGCTTTAGCTCCTGATCTCTGCCGTGTAGGAGTTTGGAATGATGGGGTTGGCGGTTGTGGTTGTGCAGGATAGGACGATGCGGTGGTTGCTGTTGCTGGTGGTATTGGTACCGAATTGAAACTGGATGACGATGAGTTAGTCAGTGAGTAAAAATTGTGAGCAGGTTGTGGCAAAGTCTTTTCCTGCTCACCCGTCTCCTCTACTTCGTCCAATTGTAGTTCTTGCAAGTCCTGCTCCTCAATCTCGTCATGAAGTTTTGTCGCTGGTGGTGGTGCTGGTGGTGGTGGTGCTGTTGCAGATGCATGGGTTGTGGTTACTATTTCTGACAACGGGTCTGTTTTTGTTGACGCTAGCATTGTCCTATCCTCTATTGTGTCTTCCTCCTCGGCAATTGCTGGTGAACCCAAAAAATCGTCAGTATTGAATACGGTGTCGTCGTGGAGTTGCAGCCCAATGTGGAGGTTTGCAGTGAGGATGTAATCTAAATCAATAACGGGATCAGGCACATCCAGTTCTTGCAATTGCAGTTGCGGTTGGTAAGTCAATTGTCGAGGTGATTGAGGAAGCCGCGGGGTGCTTTGTTGATGCCGTAATGAGGAATGAGATAGTTTATTGGATAATTGTATTGGTGAGCTCAAGCTTTTCCTAAAGCTTGTTGTGTAAGTGACTCCACCTTGAAATGTTGGTGAGGTACTATAGTTGTGGTTCAAATTGCCATGATCATGATTATGATCATCGTCGTAGTCTAGTTTGTCATGTTGAGACTCATATTCACTTTTAGGAAATGAAAACGCGTGTTCAATGGGGTTGGCAAAATCGTCTTTGTTATTGAACCGAAAATGTCGATCTAGCTCATACTCTTCGTCAGATTTGATTGTAGGTGTATCTGCAAAGCCAACAACTCTTTCCTTTGGTGCAGAAGATGAAATGGTCCTGACACCGGAAGCGTTACCAGCAGCGCTTTTGTTGTTGTTATTGTTGCTGTTGTTGTTCTTATTAATATAGATGCTGTTGCTGCTGCAGCCGGGACTGCCAAACACGTTCACACTGGACAAGGCTGACCGGTGGCCATAGTGTGATGCTGATGCTGATGCTGCAGACGATGATGTGCGTGGTGTATTGGTATTGGGTATTGACTGAGCAATGACTGTGGAACCACCGCCTGCACTACTACCACCTGGCGAGGTTACTGGTGGTGGAGGGGGTATATTAAATAGTCCTAGACCGTCAAAGTCTCCCAGTATAGCTTGTGATCGTTTGTGTCGGTGAGTTCTTGGATTAAATGGTGTTGACGTGGGCGTTGAAGTAGAGGGAGAAGACGTTGTGTAAATAGGACTCTGGGGTATACTTAGATGGTTAGAACTTGACATTATTCTCTTCTATCTGTGTGTATTTAGACACCGAAAACGAGATGGTGATGGTGATGTTATGTAAATGTAGATATATACTGCTCCGGGTGGGGGAGAGCTTGTCTGAACAGTACTTTGTTGTAGTAGTAGTAGTAGTAGTAGTAGTAGTAGTCAAATGTTAAACGAGTGTGTGGGTTATGTTGGTTCAGTTCTATTTGAACGTGTGATACAGATGTGTGTGTATGTATGTGTTTGTGTATGTGTTTGTATGGTCTAAGTTAAGTTAAGGTGAGTTAATATATCCTTTGGTTTATCCTTTTGAAATTGAAATTAAAAATTGAAGATGTTTTTTAGTCAGTGCGTCGGAAGTTTAGGCACAACATTTTTACAATAACAACAGAAACTGAGAGAGAGAGAGAGAGAGAGAAACTGCGCATTAAAATTTTGTTTTTTTTTTTTCTTTTTTTTTTTTTCTGTTTCATACGAAGAAAGAACGAAGAAGAAGAAGAAGATGACAAAGAAGGAGATGTGAAATCCACTTCGTAATAGTATAATATGAGAATAACACTCACTTCTAACTCATCAAGACACTGACTAACAGTATCTACTGAGTTCACAAGTAAAGAAGGAGAGAAAGAAGAAAGAGAAAAAGATAGACAAACTGGTAGCACAAGAGTATCGTATAGGTCAAAAGTTTTCAAAGGTCAAGAACAGCTTACAGAAGACGAGACTTGTCCCTTATACTCTTATTGATTCCCACTCTCACCCTTTGTTCCTATCACTCAATATATTCCGTAGAAACAAACACGTATTAATGTAATGGTCAAATATATACCGTTGCCTTAATCTTATAGTTATGTCCGAAAATACAATATTACGACACTGACACTGACACTGACACTGACACAAACAGCTTCTCCTCCCCCCCAAGTCCTCCAAAAGTGAAAGTGAGAATAACCTTCAAAAACAAAAACAAAAAAAGAAACTATTAAATTAAAATTAAAATTAAAATTAAAATTAAAAACTTTGCGCAGTGTGTGAGTGACGCGTCTTTGTTTTATTTTATTTAATGTTTTTTTTTTACCTGTTTATGCTATACAAAACTAAAACAAACAATAAAACCTTCAATTTTTGAACACCAGTACACGTCTTTTATTCTTTGATGACGTAAACATTAATTAATAGATATCCGACTCCACCAATGGCTAACTTCATACACAACTAAGCAATCACGTGAAGGAAGTATCAAGGTAAGTGCAATTTCACTTTCCCTGTAGCTGAAACTGTCTCTTCCTCTCCTCCTCTTTAGCTTTTTGATACATCTCATCCTTTTTATAATCAACCCTAGACAAAAACTCTTGTTTATCCAAATACCCACCTCGATTATGTCTCTTCAACTCATCACCAATTTTCCGCTTATCGATAAAACTAGCCCAATCCAATCGAGACTTCTCCAACGTCGACAACTTCATCTTTTTATTATTCCCATTCAAGGCAATAAATTTATCAATCAATGAAGGCCGCTTCAATTTGATTCGAAGCTCAACATTCTCTTTTGTTGTCGGATCTTGTCGAATAACCTTGACTTCTGTGCGTCTACTAGCAGCAGCAGCAGCAGACGATGATGATGATGATGGTGATGATGATGTTGTTGCTGCTGCTGCTGAGGTGATGGAACTTGTTGAATTGAGATATGCTTTGGCTTCTTCCGAATTGGCATCTACTAATTTCAGCTCAGTAACTAATTTCCCAGCAAATGTATAGTTGATTTGGATTCGAATTTGACCACTATCTTCACTAGGGTTATCGGTTGATATGACTCCACCAGTTTCTGAATCTCCTCGCTGTTGTGACTCTGCTTCAGTGGGTTGGAGCCCTCGTCTAATCCATAAGTCATTCTCTTCATGAACATCACCTGCTTTATTCTGCTTTAAATCTTCAAATATCAGGTTTATGTCTAACGAGCACGTTTCTTTAACCAACCCTCGAGAATCAGTCTCAAATTTGCCTATATACTTGACTTGCTTTTGTTGTTTATCATGTAGTCTCTGCGATCGCGTTTTGACTTGAGAAACACTAGACTCTATTTTGGAGAAATCGGGTACTTCCCCATCTCCTTCATCTACCTCATCATCTCCTTCACTAATTTCTGCATCTTCATCCACCTTCTTGGTGGGATCGTAGTCTTCATCGTCCTCCTCGTCCTCCTCGTCATCGTCCTCCTTGTCATCGTCATCATTATCATTATCAAGATCATCACCATCATTGCCCTTAACTTGTCCATTTTTATCACTAATTTTTCTCACTTCTCCATCTTTAGTTGCATCTTGAGCTTGTATAGGTGTAGCGTTCCCCGTTTCAGCAGTATCTAGACTCATTGTAGGATATTTACACTGTGATGGTTATCTATTTATTTATTTATTTATTTATTTATGTTGCTGCTTTTGCTTTTGCTTTTGTCCGAAAATTTTGTTCGCACGCAATAACCATCTAAAATCACAAACTGATTTGGTGTTTGTATTTGCAATCTATGCAATTCACTCCTGGTGAAGTGGTCCAAATCCCCTCACTTCCCAGGACCAAAGCAATATCTAATTTCTCCATTAGATGTGATAAGATTGTTCAATGCAAACTTTATGTTGGAATTGGCATGTAGGAAACTTTGGGCGTCTAGTTCATACAATTGAATAATCTCATCCAAAATATTTCCGAAAACAGCAGTCGAGGCTTATCCTCTGATCAATTGCGTCTTTCATTTTGATGGAATATCAAAGTTGTGTCAACTTTCATTGCTGCCCCTACCAAGGGATGCAGCGCTGTTTCTATCTGGAAAAGGATGTCGTTTTGCTACCTGTGTCGCACCACCACACTGAATTCTTTTTTTTTGCACAGGATTTTTTTTTTTTTTTTTTTTTTTTTTTTTTTTTTTTTTTTTTCGCCACCAAAAGACTCTTCCTCCACAATTCACCCCAACACATTTGCGACCACCAGTCACACACACCAACTCCCTAAGCCATGTCCGCTGATTTGTTTTACGCCGACTCAGAGGCTCCAATTGTTTTATTATCAGCCAAAAAGCACTTTGACCAATTGTCATCTCCTGATTTGCAAAAGTATGCCCACCATTTATCAAGAGCTTCATACCATGGTACGAGGGCTGTTTTAGACTCAGTTTCACCAGAGAGTCCAATAATCTACGACTTGATCTTGCTCATTCATGAAAAGTTGGACACACCACGATCAAATGAGGAGTACATTGATCGATTGTCTGGAGCGCTTGAAGCACAAGATGTCACGTATTACTTGGAATATGCTGCTCAGTTTTTGGGCAATGTGGGTAACTACAAGTCATTTGGTGATCGCAAATTTATTCCAAGAATTGACAAAGCTAAATTCCGCAAATTGATTGACAAGATCAATGACGAGGAAGTGTCTCAGTTGTACAACAAGGTTGAGGATCGGATTTATGACACTGAACAAGGATTGTTGGGCTACCCAGACCAAGGTCTCTTGTCAAACTATTACCCCAATAGTGGAAACATCACCAAGGATGAGATTGATGCTGTCAACAAGGCATTGTCATCCGCTGGACTCATGCCAGAAAACACCAGGGTTGTGAAAAACGGCAAGGACAATTCATTCACAGTCCTCGTCGCATCCGTTGACACAACCAATCTTTACACCGATTTGAACTTGCAAACGGATTCCGGCGCAAAGATCACTTTTGAATTTGGTGACCATGCAAGTGACTTTGCCAAAATTGTCGACGAGTTGGAAAATGCATTAAAATACGTTGCCAACGACACTCAAAAGAAACTCATTTCTTACTACATTGAATCCTTCAAGACTGGATCAATGTCGGCACACAAAAAGTCGCAAATCGAATGGGTGAAGGATTTGAAACCCGAAGTTGAATCAAACATCGGATTCATTGAAACTTACAGGGACCCAGCTGGAGTACGTGGTGAATGGGAAGGTTTGGTAGCCATGGTCAATCATGAACGTACTGCAAAATTCTCCCACTTGGTGGAAAATGCCGGCCAATTTATTGATCAATTACCATGGGACAAGTACTACGAAAAGGATACATTCACCCCACCCGACTTCACCTCATTGGAAGTGTTGACTTTTGCCGGATCGGGTGTCCCTGCCGGTATCAATATCCCCAATTACGACGACGTGAGATTGAATTATGGTTTCAAGAATGTGTCTCTTGGAAATGTCCTCTCTGCAAACCCCAAGAACCCCAAAAAGGAAGAAATCATCACTTTTATCGAGGACCAAGACTTGTTTAAGAAATGGAGAGATGATTCATTCGAAGTCCAAGTTGGATTGCACGAGTTGTTGGGTCATGGTACTGGAAAATTATTGCAAGAGACCGAACCGGGTAAATTCAACTTTGAAAAAGACCCCAATCACAATATAGATACATACTACAAGCCAAATGAAACATGGGCAGGTGTATTTGGTGCCAATAGTGGATCATATGAAGAATGTCGTGCTGAGTTGGTGGCTTTGTACTTGATTCTCAAAAACCCAACCAAAGTCTTGCCAATCTTTGGAATAGAGTCAGAACAGGATCAAGAAGCTGTCACCTACATTGCTAGTTTGTTGATGATTCGTGCTGGTTTGGTAGGATTGGAGTTCTGGGACCCCGAGGCAAAGAAATGGGGCCAACCACATATGCAAGGGCGTTTTGCCATTATGAAGCAATTGCATAAAGCGGGCGTGTTTGAGTTTGAGCATTCTGCTCCAGACTACTCCGACTTGAAGATTGTTGTTGACAAATCCAAGCTTCACGATGGTACTGCTGTTGATGCTCTTGGTGAATTCTTGGGCAGCTTGCACGTTTACAAATCGACAGCTAATGTGACTGCTGGGTTAAAGTATTACATTGAAAAGAGCAATGTTGAAGATGAGTATGCCAAGTTTAGAGATATCGTAATCAAGGAAAAGAAACCAAGAAAGATTTTGATCCAAGCTAATACTGTCTTGAAAGAGGGCGGCAGTGTTGAGTTGATCGAATATGAGGAAAGTGAAACCGGTATGATTCAAAGTTATTACGATAGAAAAGTATAGTCTAGATAGGAAATGTATTAGAGGTCTATCAAGGTAAGGAGGGTTTTTGGTGTCAAAGCAACCAGAGCAAACTCTGCAGCACATGCACCTCGCAAATTCGTTGCGTCTACTAGTGGACATGCAATAAGACACGTTCTCTTTCTCTTCATCGTCAAATGAGAACTAGATGTATACCTCACCACCGATTAGTGTCCCCTTTCCCACTTCCTACACCCCGATGAGTCAGGTGCTCAACAAATTGAAAGAAGAAGAAGAAGAAGAAGAAAAAAAAAAATTGCACCAAAATTTTACAACCAAAAAAAAACAACAAAAACCAAAAAAAAAGAAAAAAAACATATATTAGAGAATCCACACACATCAATCCACTGCCACCAGCTTATCATCACAGGAGACAGTTTATCACAACAGAGTGTTACTTCAGCTGCACCTAATCACTGAAACATTGCACATTTCAGCCATGCTTTTGCTAAAACCGACGCCGGTCCTACTATGTCGCTTAACAACCCGACAAAGTTTACGAACATACCATATACTAAAGTCACATCATCTCATAACGAGGCCCAACATCGCACTCCATACCCCCTCCAAGAGCATACTCAACCTCATTAAATTTAATTCCACATCTTTGTCTCCACGCAATGAATTACAAAAATCCAATACCCTTGACAACTCATCCGTCAAGTCGCATCTAGATCTAGCCAAGTTGAAAAAGAAGGAGATCAAACAAGAAGAAAACAAGCAGTTTTCCCAATTGGATAAAAAGAGTTTCCGTGAAAATATGAAAACCATTGGTCGAATATTGAAGTTGGGCAAATCCGATTGGAAGCTATTCCTACTTGCAATCACATTCATTCTATGCGCGGTGCTATACCCCACCACGGCAGTCAAATTGGTTGGGGCGCTACTAGACTCATTCAATTCAGGAGTTAAGAATGAAAACGGCGAGTTGATGGTGTGGGGATACACAGCGAAAACCGTGTTTGAGTTTATGGTTCCATTCATGTGTCTTAGTGCTCTTTGCTTTTGGGCAAGAATATGGGTTTTGAAGCTTTTGGGTGAACGTCTTGTGGCAAGATTACGGGCTAAGGTAATGAAGAGCTTGTTGCGCCATGATGCTAAATTTTATGACAGTGACAAGAACAAGGTGGGTGATTTGATATCGCGATTGTCAAGTGATGCGTATGTTGTTAGCAAGTCTATCACGGGGAACCTTCCGGATGGGTTAAAGAACTTGTTGTTTGGAGTTATCAGCTCATATATGATGTACTCGATAAATCCAATGTTATTTGGAGTCATGTTGTTGATATCACCGCCAATTACTATTGGATCAGTATGGTATGGAGAAAAGATTAGGAAATTGTCAACAAAGCTTCAAAATGCAAGTGCAGGACTCACAAAGGTGAGTGAAGAGACATTGAATGCCGTCAGATTGGTCAAGGCATTCACTGGGGAACAAAAAGAGCTCAACAAGTACAGTGCCAGAATAAGAAATGTGGTTAACGTTGCCAAACAAGAGGCATTGGCTCAATCGAACTACTCAGTTAGCATATATACCCTTTATCACGCTGGGTACTTGTCGTGTGTGGCATTGGGTATCTGGCTCATGCAAAAGGGACAAATGACCGCAGGTGATGTTGTGGCATTCACAATGTACCTGGAGTTTTTCAACCTGGCATTATACAGTTTGACAACGACATACCTAGAATTGATGAAAGGTGCCGGTGCCGGAGTTAAACTCTTCAACTTGATTGATTACAAAAGCGACGTTGATCCAATAGGTGGAGAGAAGGCCGGAAATTTGCAAAATGAAGTTGAATTTAAAGATGTCACATTCAGTTACCCCACAAGACCCAACGACAAAGTGTTTGACCGTTGTAGCTTCACCATTGCGAGCTCCACGAGTACTTGTATTGTTGCTCCTTCAGGTGCAGGAAAATCAACAGTAGCCGCATTGCTTTTGCGTTCGTACAATATCCAAGGTGGTGAAATCTTGATTGGTGGAGAAAATATCAAGGATATTCAAGTTCGTGATTTGAGGAGACACATTATTGGGATTGTGCAACAAGAACCAATTCTTTTGAGCGGAACAATTTTGGAGAATATCGTATACGGGCTTACGCCAAAGCAAGTTCGCCAGCTTTCAATGAATGATATTATTGAGGTGTGCAAACAAGCCAACTGTCATGACTTTATAGAGAGCTTTCCAGAAAAATACGACACCATTATTGGAAGTCGAGGTGCTTCGTTGTCGGGTGGTCAGAAGCAGCGGATTGCCATTGCTCGTGCTTTGATCAAGCGTCCCAAGATTTTGATTCTCGACGAAGCTACTTCCGCCCTTGATTCAAAATCCGAATCGCTCATCAATGAAACATTGAAAAACTTGACGACTCAGGGCAAGATTACAATCATTTCCATAGCTCATCGTTTATCAACCATTTCCAAATCAGAATTTGTTGTTGTGCTTGGCAAGAATGGTAAAGTTGTTGAACATGGTGGGTTTGTTGAGCTCTTCAGTGACCCAAATAGTGAATTGTCAAAGTTACTTGATGAATCGACAAACAAAAAAGAGGATGATAAAATCGATGAAGAGGAAGCGGATGAGGTGGAGCATGCAAATTACGAGGCAGAAAAGATTGAACAACATCAACGTGATTTTGGCAAATTGGAACATTTGCGACTCATGATTGATTCCTTGCCTGATGACCTCAAAGATCAATTAATTGATGAAATCACTCTAGACACAAAAAAGAAGATTCAAAATATGGATACAACCACATTGGGTGATGATTTGAAAAAATGAGTTTGTTACATGTAAATAGAGTTTGCAATATATAGAATCAGAACATTCCGTGGAAACGTGTATTAACAATTCTCCTTCTTTCTTTTTGTTTTCTTTTTTTTTTATGTATGGTTCTCCATTATCTATGTAACATAACTTGCTCTCCTCTGTGATCACCTCTATTTGTCAATTGGCTTCAATGCTCTTGGTTCACCAGCTTTACCATTTTCGTATACGGAAACTTTGGCCTCAACAAATCCTCTTCTTTCAGCAGCAGCCTTGAATTCTGGCTTCAACGAGTTTCTCAAAGTTTGTGCAGCAATGGCGAGAGCCTTGTTTAATGAAATACCTGCTTGTTTATATGCTGACATGGCTGTACTGATTAGATATGAGTAGCTAAACGGATGTTTGTTGTTGGTGTATGAATTTTTTTTTTTTCTTCTTCCTCTTCCGCCAAAATGGGTTTTCATTGGTTTACATATTTGAACGATATTACACGACCATTTGTATCTCTAGTTTTTTTGCAACCTCTCTATATACATAACAGCTCTTTACCTCTACTGCCCATTCACATTCTGCCTCTTATCATTCAACCAATTGATAAAGTCAAAGAACAACGAGGGCTGGAGTTTGTTATTTTTATTTAGGGCCCATTGTCTCAACGAGTTGGTGTATATATCGATAACCAGCTCCAACTGCGACGAATCTACTCCAATTAAGTTCTTTGCAAGGACAATACAACTTTGATTGTAGCTAGCAATAACAGCCTGGTTTGAAGATTTTGTGGTAGCAGCTTTATTTTGTAGTTCTTTAATAGTTTCTTTACTCCATTGGGTAAAGTTCGCAACATCCTTAACACCAGTTGCACTGGTGTACACCTTGGTTTTGCTGATTCTAGTCTTTAAAAATTTGTGGGCCTTGACTCCCAAGTTTTTATCCATCGTCAAATTTATCAATGTCACCACAGGTTCAATAAACTTCAAGTTGTATTCAGCATTTGGATGGTGTTTGGTAAAGCTCTCTAGCAAGTCTAAAACTCGATTCTTGAAAAATATCATGTTTTCACGTGCATCGTGCACTTCGGTCTTTCTCTTGTTTCCTGAACTGACACTGCTCAAGATGTTTTGCCTTTCTTTGAAAATTTTGGACAACTGGTCATCCATAGCCATCATTTGTTCATCGTCCATTGAATCACTTTCGTACTCATTGTTGGATGAATCGAGATCGGAGAGCTCGTCGAATTTGACTTCCCCGGACTCGGCAGTGGGGATGCCCAAAGCTTGTGCAAGCTTGAGATTGGTTTCCTTGTCGAGATCAGTCATTGTATTGTTGGCAGTCGCGTTGTCGTCGTCATCATCGTCATCATCGTCATCATCGTCATCGTCATCATCGTCTTCATCATCATCGTCATCATCTCCTTCATCGCCATCTTCGCTATCACCATCAACAACCATCTCATCATCGTTCTCAAACAACTGCTTCTGCCCTTCTTTATTCTCCTTTGCTATCAAAACATCAAACAACAACTTGAAACATTCATCATTGATCCTCAACTTCCCCTCCCCATCAACCCCACAAAGAAAATGATCCCATACAATCATTGACAACTTTTTCAACAACGTGCTCTTTCTAGTGACGAAGCTTAGAAGGATCTCAGTCATCACCACGGCAGTATCCACGTTATTTTCATCATTACTTCGGGCTTCACTTTGATAAAGAGATAGTAATTCTTGAGTTATTTGAACAATCTCCTCATCACCCATGTACAACTGAATAAAACACATGGAAAATAGTAAACCAAATACGCGGCTAAAGTCTCCATTTGAATGCTTTTGCAAGGATTTCAAAATATTGTTAGTTTCGTCACGGACCTCACTCAACTCCTCGTCAAATTCGACCAAGCATTTACTGGTTTTTTCCAACAGCGCAATTTGCTCAACACAGTAGCCCGGCCAGGATACGCCGGCGGCACTATTGTAGGATAAAAGCTCCGAAAGTACTGAGTTTAACTTTTCCTGTGCTAACTTTCTGATATTAGAAGAGGCTTCACCTTCAAAGAATGCAGTTTTGATCAACAACTTGATAACCTGTTTCACAACCGCATCATCCCTGTTGAATTTTACCAAATGTACTAATTTGTCAAGGCACCACTTGAGAACGTTATCATTGGAGTACTTGAACCCGTCCGTGGATGTTTGACTCTTCAACATACTGGAGAACTTGTCAATAATAATGGAAACATTACCACTGTTGGGCACCAACAAAACTCTATCCACAGTGCGCGACTTGGTTACCAAGTCAAAGTTCCAACATCCGCCTCTTGACTCATCCAATAAGCATTTGAGCAACATAGGACCAGACTCATTAACCTGCGAACTCTTTTCCGCTATTGCAGACAAGGCTCTGACGGCTATTTCATGCAACGTGCGTGACTTGTGTGATGACTGATTGATCAAGCATCTCATGAAGTTGGGAGTAAACAACACTTCCAAGTCGTGATCTAGTTTTGTCAAAAACTTGATAAAGATTTCAAATCCCCAATATTTTCTCTCATGCGACGATTTCTCTGAAAATAATGACTCGTCAATTACAACCTTGTAAAATTCTTTCAAGCCAATCGTTTCATCGCCTTTGTTTCCATTATTCTTTTTTTGTTTCTTTTTCGGAGGTTCCCTCACACCATCTCTGGGAGCCGCCAACTCTTCAATAAGAATGTCCCATACAAATGGCAAGTTTGGGGTCCAGTTGCTCTTTTGTTTCCTATCTTCGACATTTTCGTCAACAATCTCAACATCTTTCAAAACCTTGGCTAAGACGGGCAAGTTTCCTTTGTGAAGAGGATCTCCTTGTTTCCAATTTGACTTTGGGTTGACAATCTTTTCGGCGAGTTTTGATCTGACTTGCCCGTCTATGGCCAAGTACACGGCCAAGCCCTCCGTAGACAAGTTCAAACCAAGATCGTTCAATTTTTGCATTGACCTCAAGTAAACAGCATGTGACACTTTAGAATTGGCGGTTTTGATAGCTCCAATCAAACTAGCGGTGGCAGCTTCCCTTATCCAAGGCTTTGTACTCAACAAATTTGTCAAATCGTCAATAAAGTGAAACCACTCTGCCTCACTCGCTTCTTCAAGCCATCCCACCTTTATAATCACATTGAGTCCAAACAAATGACCAAATAGAAGGGCTCTTTCTTCCTTTCCTTTCATACCACCTTTGACAGTAGTCACTTCACGTAACTTCTCCAAATACTTTTCAACCGTCAACCCATTACGTTTCTTCATTTCGGATATAACTTCAGTTAAAAGCACGCCAAATCCCAATTTGGCACTTTGCTTAGTTGAAGTCAAGCCCTTTATTAAACGATTGTAGGTGTAGTCCCATTCTTGAAAAGAGTCTTCCTCAATCAACTCTTGCATCAAAGCGTTGGCTGCTTGTACTCTTTCTTTGGCATTTTCAGACGCCAACTTTGAAAAATGGTCCCGTTTCACCATAGTGTGGGCCGACTCTCTTGCGTTTTAGAATTGGTGTTGTTGATGATTGTATTTTTATTTTTGTTGTTTTTCTTTGATGCTCATCCAAGTGATGAACTTAGGTAGTGAGTATCAACTCGATGAGAGTTCTTGCGCTACGAGCTCACAAGGCTTCAATTACTTGCATCTTGCCACTCTCTGAGGATAATGTACTCACGTCAGACCAGTCTGGCTTTGTTATAAAGTGGAGCTTGTCAACAAAACGACCAATTCTACAATGGTTGGCACACACTGACTCAATCTTGACATTATTGAAATGGGGTAAATACATCATAACCCATTCTCGTGATTCAACTGTTAAAATCTGGACGGATGACAAACTACAGTATGAGTTTCCTGTCAATGCATTGAATTTTTCAAATGTTGTACTATTTCAGGAACGTTATTTGATTACTCCAGCGACGACAGACTCGAACAACATTGATGTTTACCGGCTCCATGAAGATTCTATAACTATCACACGTGAGGTGGCCAATTTTTCTCCATACGACCTAATACACAAGTTAAACTTTGCTAGTATAGAAGGGAGAAACGATTTTGGAATTATTATGAAGATGCTCATCATTGGCAACGTCCTTTACATCGGCTACGAATCAGGAGACATAGTAGGACTAAGCATCACAATACCGCAACCTTCCATTACTCAAAGCGCAACCTCAACACTGCTTATAAACAAAGACATCAAACTAAGACTTGAGTACCACAATTCAACTCATATGCCGAACCCTATTATATCTTTAGCTAACCTTAATGGTATTCTTGTATCAGGGTCAACAGGTCAAAAAGTTACCATTCACAAGGATCCAGTCGACGTTTGCAAGTTCAACGAATCGGGAATCCAATCTATAGTTCCATACAACGAGCATCTTATTGTGGGGTTTTGGAATGGAGTTATCCAACTGGTGAATGAGACTATTGAGCGCTCTCTACCTCATTTGGACGCAAAAGACATGAAAACGAGGGTAAAGTTGAGTTACATGTGCATGTTTAACAAATCTGAGTCAAAAGATGTCCAAAAGTACTCAACGCTAGTAAAGCAAAAGAAGTACGGAGACTTGTTGTTGGTGGGCTATGAGGATGGATCTGTTGTCGGGTATTCTGTTTAGAGAGGAATGAACTTGCAAGGTTATAAAGAACATTTCATACGTATATCTGGTACTTTTCCATGTCCGGCTTTTCGCCAAGAGCGCAGACAGATATGAAGGTAAAATGTCTCGAGCAAAGAAATTGCAAAAACAATGAGCATCTTGAGTATAGAGAACCAATTCTACTCAAGACCGCCAAGGAAAACACGCCGCAGACTGAAATAAACTCAACTATTGTGTTGAAAGTTGAGAGCTTAAATGAAGAATTGATAAATGGCTCATAAAGACGAGATTACTGATTTTAAATTAAAAAAACCACTGAAAATAAATAAGTTATACAATGAATGCGGAATCCAAACATCCTCAAACTGTTATGCTCTTTGTTCTTTTTCCCCAATTCTCTATATTGTTTGATCTATAATTTGTGAGTTTCGTTTATTTTTAGCTCCATTACCCACTTTATTGGAGTTGCCAAAGTATCCTGATCTTCTCCTGCCAGCTTTGTCATTGTAGCCATTGCTATTGCTACTGCCGTTGTCGCGTTCACCATTGCATAACCCATCATAGCTCTTTGTGCCATTCTTGTGTTTTGATTTATTGGTGTTGATGAGGTTATTGTTTATTGCAGGTTTTCTGTGCGGGTCCAGTTGAGATTGTGATCGTGCGTGCGAATGCGGGTGTTGGTATGCTTGGTTTTGCGTTGTGGAATACGGTGTAGCGTGCTGGGTATGTTGATTGTGCTGGCTCGAATGGCGGCTATGGGGATATTGTGCTGAATGTGGTAATTTTGGTGATGGGGAATTAGATGAATTGTTTGAAATGGAGCTATATCTTTTCAGTTTTCTTCTTATTGAGGCGGATTTAGTCAATGTATTTGTGGCCGGTGCTGTTGCATTGTCTAAATCAGGTGAGTGTATCAAGGTTACTTCCTCGTCATCAAACGATGTATTATTCAAAGTTTCCTTTGACTCAAGAAGCATTGAATTTATATCAATTTCAACTTGTTCATGCTGGGATATCTGTTCGTTTAAATCGGGATATTTGTTTAGTAAAAAATCAATGGTTTCTGTGCATTCAGTAAGAACTTGTTTACTTTCTTGACCATGTGATTTAACCAAGTTGGCCAATGTAGTTAAAAGTTGCAAAATCTTGGTATTCTTTTGAACATAGATGTTGTCCATTGACTTTTTCTTATTGCCCAATGAATCCAACAAGATATCAACATCTTTATCATTACTTGAAATCAGTTTTTGCAACTCTTCCCATTTGGCCAAGTTGGAAGTTTTGTAATTTTCAAAATTCTCACTAATGGTTTCGATCTCCTTTTTGTAATGTTGTTTATACTCCTTACAGCTGGTAACCAAAGCATCATAAGATATTTTCAACCCTTCATACTCGGCCATAGTTTTGTCACTGTTGGAGGCCAAATTTTCACACCTCAACTTCAATTGCTTATACTGAAACTCAGCAGTCTCCTTTGTGCTCGACATTTCATTGTTTTGGGTTTCTAAATCGGCAATACGGCGATCTTTACGCTTCAACATGGCATTCAACATTTCATTTTCGTGTTTTAGATTGGCCACTTGATCGACAAAGGACTCATTTCTTTGACTAAGAATCTGATTCTTTTTGGTAGTTTCTTGGTTGTTTTGCTTTAAAGTGGTTATCTCATCCGTTAGTTTGTCAATTGTAGACTGCAATGAATCAATAACACGTGAAGACGATGACACGGTATTGGCAGATTTTTGCGGCGACAGTGACATATTTCTCTTGGGGGTAGTGGTGGGAGGTGGAAGCGGGAAGAAGTGAGAGGCAGTGCGTGTGTACAGTGCAGAAAAGGTTGTCGTTTGCTGTTGTTGTTTGTTGTTTGTTGCTTGTTGAGTTATCGTGGTCTCAGGTCAAATGAGTGTGTTGTTCTTTCGTGTGTTTGTTGTTGTTGTTGTTGTTGTGGTGGTGGTGGTGGTTTGGTTGACACTGACTGTATTATTATATTATGTAAGTAGCTGCAAGATAGTACCAGTGTTATAATATTATATCAGCTATCAGTGTGATCTAGAAGAAAAGAAAGACCCTGTGCAAAAGCAGAAACTTTAAATATCTTAAGTTGACTGTGGATAAAGTGGTTGGAGAAAAAAAAACAAAAAAAAAAAATTTTGATTTGTTTATGGTTTCACAAAATACAATGCTACGACATTAAACTATTAGCGACATTGATTTTGAAATTAGACGATGACATTTGACAATTAGGATCAACGGAATGGAACGGAACCGACACACATTATAAATTGGAGGAGGGGGGGAACGATAGAGCAAAAAGAAAGAAAGATGATATGCACCACGGTTCAGAATAGTTCAACAACCTCACTCACATGCGTAATGAAAAACTATTCGAGTGTGTTACATTGTCGTTAGTGATCATGATCAACGTTGGAGTAGAGCGTTTTACAGGTGTTTCTGGCATATGAATTTCACCATCCAGTGTGTAAAAACTCTTATTCTTAGTCAAATTAGTTTATGGCGTAATCAAATCTCAAAGCATCCAAAGAGTTCGATGCTTCGACTGCAGTAACTGTGGTACCACATAACTCCCACCTCCCCTCACTCTGCTACGAAGTACAAATGACATTCTTGCAACTTGCAACTTGCAGCTTGCAACTTGCAACTCTCTTTGAACCCAACAATCACAAGAAATAAAAATCTTCAACAACTCTTAGCACGTGCATGGCACCAATTTTAAATTCCAACTTATTATTTTCTCTTTATTTTTTTTTACACTCTTCACACGACCCCAGAGGGTCTTTTTTAACTAACAGTAGCTGCACATGATGAATTTTTCAACAACATCTTGCAACTGTATCATCAAACAGCTCAAGTTCAAAGTACTTCCACTACCTTGTAAGAGATTATTTCATCTCAACTACACCAAACTACCCACCAATTCCCTTCGCAATTACACTTCTTCTTCTCCAACAATGTCTTCCCAACAATACAAATTGGTCTGTTTAGGTAACCCATTATTAGACCTCCAAACCAACGTTGATAAATCGTATTTGACAAAATACGACTTGAAGGACAACGACGCAATCTTGGCCGATGAGAAACACATGCCAATCTATGAGGAAATCTTGCAGAAACCCGACTTGATTCTCGTTGCTGGTGGAGCTGCTCAAAATACCGCCAGGGGTGCTCAATACATCTTGCCTCCTAAATCCGTCGTTTACTTTGGATCGGTCGGTAATGACGTTTACGCTGAACGGTTGAATGAAGCTAATGAAGCATATGGCTTGACTACAAAATACCAAGTCCAGCTGGAGTATGCTACTGGTAAGTGTGCTGCTTTGATCTATGACCATCATAGATCATTGGTTACTGATTTGGCCGCTGCTAACCATTTCAAGCCTGAGCATTTGCAAAAGCCAGAGAATTGGTCCATTGTGGAAAACGCCACTCATTACTACATTGGTGGATTCCACTTAACTGTTTCTCCAGAAGCCATCTTGTTGTTGGGTAAAGAAGCAGCCAAAAAGAATAAACCATTGGCACTCAACTTTAGTGCTCCTTTCATTGCTCAATTCTTCAAAGACCAATTGGACTCAGTCTTGCCGTATGTCGACTACGTCATTGCCAATGAGTCGGAAGCAGAGGCGTATGCCCAATCACACGACTTGAAAGTCGATCACAAGGACGTCGTTGCCATTGCGAAGGAAATTGTCAAGTTACCAAAGGAGAATAAACAAATCCCACGTACTGTCATCTTTACTCAAGGTACCCAACCAACAGTTACCGTTACCGACTTAGGTAATGGACAAGTTGACGTCCACGAGTACCCCGTTGCCCCATTGGCCAAGGAAGAAGTTGTCGACACTAATGGTGCCGGTGATGCCTTTGCCGCTGGATTCATTGCGTCTTTAGTCCAGGGTGAATCTTTGGCCAAGGCTGTTGATGTGGGACAATGGGCCGCCAAGTTGTCTATTCAACAAGTTGGTCCAACTTTCCCATTCCCAAAGCAAACTTATCAACAATAACATACAAACAGTTATGGAAGGTGTAGTGTCTATAGAAGTAAAAATCGTGAATAAATTTGAATACACAGTACACAATAACACATAAAAACATAAAACAACTTACAGGGTTATCGCTTATACCCCCTTGATGGCATTGAACATCTGAACCAAGCATGCATAATGACCCAAAATGCCCAACAAGACACATATATGCCAAATGTTATGACTAGCCAAGAAGTAATCCACCCACCATAAACTCATAAACGTATTGGCATATGGTGTTTTGGTGGGTTCCCTCTTGAAGTGTTTCCTCACCAACCGTTTAAAATCGTTGTCCTCGTTCTCGTTCTCGTTCTCATTCTCATTCTCATTCTCCTCCTCATTCTCATCGTCATTCTCATCGTCATCTTCGAAATCGGATGTGCTGGTGCCATCATTTACATGTTCCTCTGCTTCCTCTTCTTCCTGTTTTCCCTCTTTATCCCCTCCTTGCTCCTCCTCATGAATCCCATCCGTAACCTTTTGCAACCGATGCAGCTCCAAATCCAACAACTCCAGTTCAATCTCATCAATCTCCTCCTCACCAGCATGTCCCACCTTATCCTCAATCACATCAATAGCATCATAACGATGCTGGCACGACCCGGCACTGTTCTCCTCAATAATCACATCAAACCTCCACCTCTCCGGTATCAACCCACCATAAAACACAACGCCCAACAAATACCACACAAAGCTCTTGTAAAACAACGGCAACGTGAACCACAACGCGTGCCAGACTCCATAATACCACGCTTGGCATAAAAGTGCAGTAGACCCCGAAAACGACAACCCGATAAAGAACCCAATGCGTAATGGACGACACTCGGGTTTATCGAAATACGGACTCCAATTGAAAGCAAACCCACCGACACCACACAACATCGTGAAAATAACAAACGCCAATGACAAGTTGGGGTAGTTGTACAATGCACAATACTCAATGGCGATAACTGAACATGTAATCAACAACGTTATTCCTGAATAATCAATACATGCAAAATTGGCCCTGCTGGGGAAATGGGCAAAACACGAATACGTATGCCATGTTGACGACGAAATCAAACATCCCAATGCTGCAGCTAGGAAAATGTACATAATCAGCTTATCCCCACTACTCATCAGTGCAAAAACTGGCAATTGTGGGAATTGGACAAGAGCGATATACAAAACAACCCCCACACCAACCAAATGCGACCAAATATTCATGGTTTCATTATGCCATGCGAAAACCAGTTTCCACATCTCACTATGTTTCAAAGAAAACCGATACCCATGGATAATATACTTGTTTTCTCGCCACATCAAGGGTAATTCGTAGTAATGGACGTATTTGTTCCTAGCAGCATTTTTCAAAGCACGGTTGAAGTTGAAGAATCGTAAATTGATTAAGTGTTGTGTGTGTTGTCCATCATGCAAGTCGGGTCCTCCTTCAACAATGGCGTTTTTCTCACGGAGATAGTCGTCGATACTGGTCAATTTTTGATCAAAGTAGTAGATCATGTCTATAAGTTTATTAGCGAGCACTTCACGCTTGCTGCTGGTACCAACTGAGATGGGGGCCCCATTAGCAGCAGTTGCGGTTGCGGTTGCGGTTGCTGTTGCGGTTGCTGTTGCTCTTGCGTCATCCCCTTCTTCTTCTCCTTCCTCTGATTCCTTCTCTTCCTTCACATCATCCAACATATCTGGATCAACAACAGAACTGAACAAATAGTCGTACTGATCATTCAACAAATTGTACAAAAATTCAACATTGGTGAATCCTTTACTTAGGACACTCTTTTTGATCAATCTAAGTCGATCTCTAATCAAGTTCAACTTCATCAAAGATACTTCTTTCAAACTTTGCAAGCTTGACGTTGAATCGGACCTATCGCGAGCAGAGAGCGAGCTACCTCCGCCGCCACCACCACCAACACCACCATTACGATGATTGTTCGTGAATATATTGGTTGTAGTTTTGATGGGTTTGGCCACCCCGGGTTCCTTGTCTTCACCTCCTTCAGTCTCATTATTAGCGTGTGCTTCTTTCCATTTAAAGAAGATCTCAAAGTTGTTTAATCTAGCTTCGATTGAGGATACAAAGTAGTCAAGCTTTTCAATAAGCTGTTCTTCAACTGAAGACGAAGTATGTCTACTACCGCTCAATCTGTTCTTGAGCTCAGTTCCCTCACTGTATACCTGTGTTGAAGTTGTAGTCGAGGACATGACTGCTTTTATGGTAGTGATTGTAGAGTGGAGGGTCCTAATTCAGCACGTAAAGGGTAATCAAACAATGAATGTGAATGAAAGCTATGGGGATTTAAGCTTTAGCGAAAGCCTATAGTCAATATCAAAATGATTGTGATAATGAATCTGATCTTCCTAAAGAACGTAGTTGAAAAGAGAGTTGTCTCTAGCAAAAAGGAAGAAGCAGCGGTGGTAGTAGTCTGTTCAAGTGAGACCTAAATATTTCTCAACCCCTGCTTGTCCTCTGTCTCTGAAGTAAGCCAGCTCTGGTTAGATAATTTCTTCAGATGAAAGAAATTTGAGTCTAGTAGGAAGAAGGATATAGGTGTACTGCATATAGTGCTACTGTTAATCACGTGCATTGTGAATTGCTTTTTTTTCTCTTATATACATTACACAACCCCACTACATCCATACACACATACAGTCTTTTTATTTTTTATTTCATACCAATGCGACATAATTGTTCATACCAATGCGACATTTATTTTGTTTGTCTTTGAGAGAATTATTGCACAATTGGCTTTAA